ATGATCTTCGAAGGAGCAGTGCACAAAATGAAACAATGACGCGCACATAAAATGACGCAAACACAAGCGCTGTACAGCAACTGGTGAATTATTGTGTGTTTGGGCTCCTGCCCGTCTGACCAATGTACGCTTGTTACGGTGTTCCGTTAACCATGTGTTTCGGCACCTGCCCGTCTCACCAATGTAAACCTCGTTAGAGGGATGTAACAAGTACGGGCAGGTGCTTAGACATAAGGTTAACGGAACACAACCATCGCTTCTCGGCAAAAGATGCTCCATGGACATTTGGCCTTCCATGGGGATTGTTGCCGTTCTCCTACTCTAATAGTTAGGCAGGTTGTCCGAAAGGAACGCAACAAGGAAACTAGAGAGATACTTGAGGCAATTGAAATCCGCAAATAGACAAGTGAAGGCGTCAGTTGCCGGTCGGTATCACTCTCTAGAAAGGCGCGCCGATACGTAACCGTATTCTGTGAGCAAGTTTTTTTAATCACAACCTCGTGTTTTTTTGGTGCTTTCATATGTGTGTTTTGTAGTATTCACTCTATTTATTGCTGTAAGTGCTCATTTGGGTGTTATTCTACATTATCCGTGTCTTTCGACATTGAATCATGAGTTGCTGTACACTGCCGCGCTTATGTTTGCGTAATATTATGTGTGCGTGATTGTTTACTTTTGTTCGTTGCTTCTACGAAAGTTAATCATGACTGATTGTCATAAAAAAATGGACAATTTTTTTATTTAGCATAGAATATTAGATGTACATCTACTTGAGCGGCATGAAGGGAAGAAATGGCTAACAAGACAAAGAACAAATGTTGTCGGTTCGTATTTAGCAAACAAAACAAAAACACATGGAGAGAGCGAAAGTTATGCGTTAGCCTATATCTTCAAAAAGTTGAAATAATGCTTATAGCTAGTTAATGTTATGGCATGGTTGGCCGCACAATGTTATTTCTATAATGAAGGGATTCTAAGCTAAACCACATTTCCAAGTAATCGTAGAATGACCTCACTATCGGAGTTTATTGCATCACAAATCAATCACCGCAAACTCATTTTTTCTAATGCGATAACGAGTGCAGTCAGCGTATTTGTCTCACGCTTTAAACGCTTTCTTTCGTCCCGATGAGCGCAGTGGAGAATACGCAGGAAGAGGTGACACGGTTAAAAGAATCAATGTCAGCGCACGTTATAAAAGGCAATCGCTCTGTCCCGGTCTGATTTCGTGGTGCTCGCTAGAGTTCATATTTTGTGTGATTTTAACGCGCTAAGAGAAACACGGCACCAACATGAGGTGGCATACTTCGTGGCAAAAAGCACATCTGATTCAACGCAGCTCTTAGTTTGTCGCTTATCGGCCAATAGCAGCAATCTGCGAAGTACAGCTGCCGCCAGCCCTCCGAAAAGAGTGATGACGAAGCTCTGTAGGGAGAGGGTTCGCTAGGATAGAGCACAACTTCACGCTCCGCTTGTAAGATGTAAACAGTACTTTACGTGAACGACTGCAATTTATGCCTGCAACTGTAAACGAACTCTGTGCTTTGAGGCAGGCTTAGAAGGAAATCTGCTGTTCTTGTGGTCAATATTTGAAAATTTGTTTATGTATAATATTAATTACTGCAATGGAAATATATTTTAGAATAGTGGCTCAGGGGTGGTTGTGTAAGCGGCACATCCCCGCCCAAATCCAGCTACTACAAATCCAAATTCGTCAAGAAAATTTACTTTGTTCTAATCATTATTGATGATGATCGTCTTACATGACATAGGTATTGACAGTCTAGTTGAGACGACATAAAAATTCTTTCGCATTCAACATAGTCATATAAACATGTGTAACACATAGGGCTCTGCCATTCTCTGTCCTTGCACGGCACGATCTAATTAATTTGTTATAATCTGCATGATAAGGTATAATACGTTACGTAAGTCAATCACTCACAACGTATGGCGCACATATGCTTCCCATAGAGCGAAAGCGAGTACCTGATGGGCAACGACTTATTGTTTCAGAAATGAAAGAGAGAAATGAAAATTAAGTTAATGTACTGGGATATAAGCAGACACGATTTAAAATTGGACCTTGCTTCTTCACCATTCAAGTTCAAAGCATGCTGAGGCACATGTTCTTACGAACTACTCGTGCATACGGACTGATTTAGACAATAAACGTGTCTTTTTTTTAGCTTCTGGTGAGAGTGAAGAAAAATTAATTTTAGGTCCGCGCATTGCGCTTAATTGTAAACTGCATCAGTTAACACAGTTTGGAAAATCATCTTTCATGTTCTGTGTTTCTGCACTGGTGCTTCTACTTGTATATTTATTAATGTTTCCCTCTCTATTGCCACATAGCCTTGGGCGCAAAATCAATTAAATGAAATATGCCTATTGAGGGCCAACATGCAAGAAGATTGTCTACCATATGTTGCTGTGTGCCTGCGCCCAATATGAGGCAACTAATTCAAGAAAATTGTCTCATTGTCCCGTGTGTCCTATAATACTTGAAAACAATTGCTTGCGCGCAGCTTGTCAAAATCGTACATGACTTGTATACACTGACACCGGTCAAAAGTTGAAATGCATGCGTGCGCTGGTGAACACAACAGTGTGAAAAAAGGAGAAACTGGAAATGTGCCCGGGGAAACTGCCTAACCTGAATATTTTTTCCTAAATATTTCAGACAAACTGTTTTCTGATTGGCTGTGTTAGCGAAGTCACGATTTCCGGGCACGTTCCGTTCATTTCTATGCGTGGAGCGCACAGTTCGGCTTTGCCGCAGAGCCAAGCAACGCCGTCGTCATGACGACCGAGGCGGGACAACCAGGCGGCGTTTGCGTCGCTTTCTCTATATCCTCGGCACAGGGCGTCGACTTACGAGAGAAACAGAAGAAAAAAAAAATCGAGTATCTAAAAAGCATTTTGAAAGAACAGTGCATCCTCGACCGCAGGCAGCTCGCGTCGCCTGTTGCGGACAGTGCCACAGAACGCACAGTGCGATCTGGCCTGCGCGTATTTTGGGTTTTGTTTTTGGCGTACGGAGCCGGAGAACCGGCGGGGGTTATCGCGCACCAGCCTTTTCGCCGCAGGCGCCTTTCTGGCACTGCATAATAGGAGCCAAGTCGGGACGCGATCCAGAAACTCAAGAAGCCAAAAGAAACACGGGCCAAACTGCTCGCGAACGAAACGATACACAACTCGCGCGGCTGGAGACCCTCGATCGAAGATGGTTGTCGCTCTTTTGATGTCGCGTTACGTCGACGTGAAGCAGCAAATCCAGATGCGCGTGCGACTTCCTTGAAAGCAGCCGCTTGCGAGCGTCGCTCGTGAAAGGCTCGAAGTGAGCGACCGCTGCAGTGATCGGGCTTGCGCGATCCGGCAATGCGTCCGGCTTACGACGACTTGGGTCGTGCACAAGGTAGGCGGTGGTTCTGTTTGAACATATCCCCCCCTCAGCTCCTTCCCTGTGCGTAGTTCTTGCATGTAGCCCGACGTCCGTATCGGTTGCTTCGTCTCTGAGCTTGTGCTCCAACGCACTAAAAATACGCCGAACGTTGCAAAATCAGAGCGCCCCCCACTCTGAATGTGCAGAGCAGCTGTTAGCCCGTCGGAAGTGATTAAACGAGACCATACGTTCGTCTACGCGTACGTGTGGACTCTTTGGTGTCGACATTGAAAGGTTAATTGGCATAACTACACTAAAATTTAGCGCATTTTTCAAATTTCTGTATCGAAGCTATGTCTCAGCACCGCGCTAATTAATTGCTCGGTGCGGCTCTATCGATTTTTTTTCGTTTCGCGCCGTGTGATGACATACGGTTGACAGAGATGGCACTTCATTGTGGAATATTAACACCGCGAGTAAATGTGCTTCTTCGCGTGCTGTAAAGCACCTTCGCTATGATCTACAAACGTTTTACTTCATCGTAAAACTTATGGACACAACGTAATGAACACTTCAAATGGCGCTTAACGGATGCGCGGGTGCTTTCGTCGACTCGGTGAAACAAGAGAGAGACAGAAAAAAAAAAACAAACAAAGTGGACAAAACGACAGGTTCAAAGACACCTCGTTTATGTGACATCCACCGTTGCTTTACCGCAGAAGCGGTTGGTGACGCACACGTCAGCTATTTCAAATGCGAAACGGTTTTAAGCTAGCCGACTCTATCGGGGTGCCTGCTAAAACAAACATTCCCAATGTAAAGATATATACAACCAAATGAACGAGCACTATTTTTGCACAACCCTTGTTTGCTAAAAGCGAGCTTTCGCTTAGACCAGCTGGCTGCCAAGTTTAGTGTGTTTATGTTCTCCCAGCCTGGAGTTCTAGCTTGCGCCGCCTTTCCTTCGCAGTTTGCTCGCTAGCAGCCGGGGAAGCGCCGCCTTTTCTTCTAAGATGTAGGCAAAGCTAATCTAGTGCGGCACTCTGTTCAGAATTCTAAAAATTTTGTTGTTCCTGTGTTCCCGACTTGTTATTCATATGTCGAGGCCGAGTGAGTGAGTATAATGCATGCTCTATGGTACGTATGTTCGTCGCTGTAATCCTCGGCATCTCTGTAGTACAATTGCTTTTAAGCACTATACATTGAATCATTGAGAAATCAGTATTTGTGATTGATAACATAAGCCAAGAGCCGGAGGTCTTTTGATCAGTTCCTATTATCACCTGTGATCGATGTTTGCCAGCATCGAGCCACTTGTGAGATAAATGCAGCAAAGATAAGCTGCTGGGAGCTCGCCATGCACTTATGGGAAAGACCACTCCACCTCGTGCAGAGCTTTCAGCTTGTTTGTACCTCATGTTACCGCGGAAGGTGCAGTTGCATGTCGCGTTCATGTTCATGTGGTCTGGTGAACTTTTTAAACGACTACAGTGAGCTGTGCTTGCTACCGGTCACCCCGAGTGACATAACCCAGTCTGCATATCCACTGACTGATCATTCTTTTTCTTGTCTCTCCCGGTGTTTGTCTGTGTCTGTGTGAAAAAAAAAAAAGACTGTCCATCATGCAAGCCCCAGAGCATGTTCCGATGCTAGGCTTTGCCTCCGGTTCTGCTGGTAAGACAGCACTCTCTTACGCCCCTGGCTGCGGTCATTCGTGTCCCGTCCTTGCCTCCTGCTGTCGTGCGTTCGTGTTGCTTGCTGTTCCCTGAGAGACAAATCTGTGTGAAGTCTAAGTCAACCTGCTACGTCTTGCACTTCATTGTTGAGACGTCGGTTTAAAAGCATGCGAACTGGTCTCTCCCTAAAGCAGCCCCTACTGTGTGACCCTCACGTTTTCCCATCACCAGTGAATTCATGTGTGTCACGATTGGCTCGGCAGCACTTTTTATGTGATGTGAACCGCTACTGTCCATGTCCTCGTCTGCAGCTTTGTTCCTACTTTGTTTATGTCATTCATCGTAAGCTGGTTTCCCAATATTTGTGCCCTTGGTTGGTCAGATAAGTAGTTTCCTCATTCACGTGTTGAAGCTAGCTTGAAAGCATGCAAATTAGCCACATTTGGGAAAAATAGTTCGCGTGATAGGCCACAAATCATTATACTTTCCAGTTATACTTAAGAGCTTGTTGACTCCATTCCTCATTTCCATGCAAGAACTGTCCTTCTGTCATGCACGACACATCAGAGACTATGCTGCCTATTGACACACATAGGCCATGGTGTTAATGATTACTACACCTTTGGCTAGCCAGGTAAAGTTATACTTGCCGCTTCCACATTTAACTGTTTGCCACTAAACTATCCGGGGCTGTCAGCAAATATCCTTTGTGTATTCATCATGTCTGCTTGCTTACTCTCCTTACATGCTATTGTATGCATTATGTAAAACTTCCCTCCTACCTTGTGTGTAATGTTGCACTCGTGTGTTACAATTATGCAACATTTCATTTTGTCTATGTGTTGTGCCATGTCTTTGACTCGTCTTTGCTGTGAAGTACTGTCCTTACTGTGCTCTGCCAAAGACACGTTGCTTTGCTGCAAGTCGGCGTACATTCTTTATAAAGCCATAGCTTTCGTAGCCATATATGTCAGACTAATTAAAATTATCATTTCTAAATGCACTCTCCTTGAGCCTTGAAATGTATGGGTAAAAAATGTAAAAAAAACCAGCATCTGGCACTTAACGAAATACAAATGCAGTGACCTTATTTTTAATTTCAGACCTCGTTTATATTCAAGGATGTAATGTTGCCTGTTCAAACATACGTGGAGCGATAGTGGTGGAATGTTTTATTTGCTTGCTTGAACTCGCTTTAGGGTACTTAAAGCTAGCACATATATAGGAAGGGAGTTATGTTGCTTTTGTCTTTTCCTGGTAATTTCCTTTTTGACTTCTTAATTCAATTTAAATAAATATTGAAAAATGAGCATATGAAAAAACTTCTAGCCAGTAAATACTGCATCTTAAAATATTAGTTAACGAAAAGTTGATGTTAGTGCTGTGTCAAATTACTAGCATACAAATTTTTGTGGGTCATGGAAATACTGACATTTCTTCTTCTTCTTATTTTTTTAGTAAGGAAAGAACAACACGAAAAACTGGCATGCTCTAAAGCTTTCTAAATAGCATAAGAACTTTTCTGCGGCGAGTTCAGTTTTGAGGTTGTGTTTTGTAATGTAATGTTCGATATAGCATAGTCGCATCGTAGCATTGTGCTTCTCACTGTGGCCTACTTACTCTGTTAATCTGCCGCTTGTGCAAATCCCTACGTGACAGAACAGTAGAGGATCAAACAAGGTTGAGCTAGTGCTAGAATTTTACAATCATCATTTCTCGATGGTCACCTTTTCTTTCATGACACATGTACGCTTGGCCTTTAAACATTGAGGAATTCATATCTTGCATAAGGAGACATGTGATGAGTGCCTATTGCAAAGCACAATATTTATGCTGTTGCACCATGCCACTTGAAAACATGATGACCGAAGTCATTCTGCACAGCGCATGCCTGCAAGTGAAAAAGCCGTTCTGTAGGCAGCAGAGAGATGGAGGGGATGCATTTAGCACGACCCATTCATAGGAAGCGTGCCCATGTCTGGTGTCAGCGGCAGGATTTATGGTTCACGACAGACGTTATGTATGTCGTAGACAGCTGTTGTGCCTTTGTACGATTTTTTTCATATCTCGCAGCTGTAGGCACGCCGTTTGTGAGGTACTTGTTGCGCGTCACGCAGCTGCGAATTCCGCTTGTGGTCTGCGTAAATGACTTTCTTATAGCAGCCTATGAACAAATGAATGTTAAGAGCTCCTAGTCTGTTAACTTAATTATAAAACACTTTGTTCTCTCAGTAGATCCTTCTATGTTTAGTATGGCATTCACTGTGAAATATGACATCATACTTCAATTTTTCATCCTATTCAACTATGAATCCTGACCAGAGTTTACCTTGGAAGAGTAATATCACCACTATCAAGCCTTAAGTGTCAACTGTATTCACGTCAAGCATTTGTTTTCGTACTCAAACATATTCTTTGATGCTTTTCATTTCACAAGTAGAGAGTGCTCATGCTCAAGAGACTCTCAGTTCTTACAGAAATAATGAAGAAAAGTGTTGTCTAAAGTGTATATTTTTGTTTTATTTCTGGTCAGTATGAGAGATAAACCGTGCATGAGATTTGTTTAGTCGAATCATATGAAAGATGTGCTAGAATAAAAAATACAAGATTTTGTTCCTTTACAAACGAAATACTTTGTAGTTGAAGTTAAAAAAAAGTCATCTTAATGTTGCGATATGTTTGTACTTTTGTATACTATATACATTAATCTAACCTTAGTTTAGGTATCTAGATTGCCTGTTCCTTTCTGCTTCGTATTTTATCTCCAGTCGTCAAGAGTGCAAAAATTTTGCCAGCACTTCCTTATACTTTACAACTATCTGTCTAGATCGGAGTCTCGGTGCATGTTGCACTGTATGTCACCACCCGCCGTAATAAGTTTCTTTAATACGCACATACATATGTGCAGTGTCCACATATTGAAATGCAACAACTTAAGGAACTTGAGGCTAAGTAATGCGCATATTGCCTATACCACTGTATTCAGGTTGTGTCGTGTCAGTGTAATTCTAGCTCAAACACTTTCGCACAGGTGGTCTTCTGTTGAATGTATGATGGGGGTGGTGTACAAAATTCCTTTGAGATGTGGAAGAAAGTGGTGTTTGGCCAAACCGGAAGGCGCATTTGCAGCTTGTTAACAATGTGCAAAATGCACTTGAAGGAAAAAACCTTGATGGTCTTCCAACTAGCCATTGTTTAAGTGTAAGGATTGCTTGTCCAGCCTGGACAACACTTCAGTCATTTAAATAAAGCAGAAGGCACATTACACAAGATATCTTTGAAGCTGAGTGCATTTCTGGTCTCCGGGAGAAATGTATTAGCATTGCCTCCATAATGCTTTCCAGTAAAGGACTGGCTTATTTAAGCATGTATGGTAACGTAGTTACTGTACTGGATAGCACCTACATATGGGCAAGGATTTCCATATCTTTGCCCATATGTAAGTGTTATCCCCATTGAGCGCTTATCTCCAACATATGTATGTAGCCACCTCTAGTTTATGACTTGCTCAATAGATGGTGCTGTGTGTATATGTCCTCGGGAATAATACAACTAGACGGCGTTAGTGGTTTTCAAAGCATATCCACAGAGGAATGATAATGTGTGGGGCGAAGCGTCCATCCGTCCGTCCGTGTGTCTAACCCCTCCGTGCTTCCATCTGTTCATCCATGCTTCTGCCCATCTGTCTGTCTGTGCATGTTTCCATCTGTTCGTCCGTGCTTCTGTGCATCAGTCTGTCTGTTCATCTGTTCGTGCATCTATCCGTCCGTGGTTTTGTTTGTCTGTCTGTCCGGTCATCTGTCTGTATGTGCGCTCGTGCCTCTGTTCGTCCGGACGTATGAGCACACAAACGGACGGACGCCTCGCTCTACTCATCATCATTCACTCCATGAATAAACTGTGATTTTTCGCACTATAGTTTTTAGCAAAGATGTCCGAACACGCCAAACTCGCTACTTTAATTGAAAACATACTTGCACCATAGTGAAGATAGCCTGTAGCAGCCAGATATAAAGCAACATGGCGTGGTTATCTTGAGCAGTTATGCATATCATACATTAAACTAAAAGTTTCTATCTATTGTTTGCAATGCATGAGCACTGTACATGCATATGTACTTTTCTTTGCAATTGCAATGTCTCTGAAACTAGGTTGGTGTCATGTGGGTGTGTATGTGGGGGGCGAACAAAATTCATTCCACTGTACATCACGCCATACATTGACTTAATAGGGAGGGGAGTGGGCACTCTGATGAATCTTTGCCTCCTCCCCCCTTCATTTGATGGGAACCTTGGGCACGCTTATGTTGATAGGAACTCCCACCCCACTGTTTCAATACTGATAATGGCAGCAGTAGTAGCTGTAAAGTGGAATAAGCAGAGGAAAATTGGGCAGCTAAGAAGAAGAGGTGGTTCAGTGCCAGAAAGACTGCAGCTTCCTATGGCACTTCACTAGAATAAGAACAATAGCATTACATGACTATGCCAGTGCTGTGGTGCTTACGTGTTTAACAGCAAACAGGCATACTCACAGAACAATCATCAAATGCTGTTCAGTAAATAGCATAAATGGGCCACCTAATGACTTAAACTTTTGCTCTATCAAAGTTCCCCAAATATTTTAAAAACTAAAGTTCATTTTATGTCCCGATAGTGAACATTCTCTTTATAATAAAAATAAAATGTTCCGAGCATCGCAGTCAACCATTCAACCCAGTCACTTATTCTTCAATCATATGTAGCAGTTTCTTTTGTGTACAATAAAAGTTAATGACTTGAGTATTGACAGTCCATCTTCAACACTGAAGAAAGTCACTCGCACAGCATTGGTTTAAAGAATCTTCTTTCAAGAGCCATGTTTGTGATACATTGCTGAACAATATTTGTTATAATACTGGATAAGATAAAGATCAAATGTCTTTTAAGGTTTATCGTTAGGCCACGTCGCTGGCACAGTGTTTGGGACCACTAGATTCCTTCTATTTCTGAGTGTTTGAAGCCCTTTTCGCAAAAAAAAAATATGTGTATGTGTATTTATTTTTCATTAACTATCATGTGATCAGCCCTTAGCTGTTGATGCTGAAATTTGACGTGGAAACAAGAGTAGGTGCCTAGGATAGCATTACTGCTCCTGGGCATTATAGCATATCATGCATTATGTGCATTGTAGTATATCGTGCCATTGCGTGCAATGCAACTGGCATAGCTGGTTTTCAAAGATCATAATCTGTCATTGTCTCTCTATGCTTGTGTAGTTTCGGCTGCTGTTCAAACTATGCAGAATGGGATGATATAGATTTAGATGGCAAAGAAAAAAAAGTATGTTTGGAGCGTTTGCACATTCCACCTCCATTTCACCAGACATTTTATTGAGTAAAAATAATTTACTTGTACAGTCTTGTGTCATATGCGAATTGTCGTAATCATGGCACACTTTTGTGTTAAGTAAGAAATATGAAGAAATTATGTACACATTATAGCTGGTGAACTGCTTAGCACAGATGCTTTGTTTGTAAAGTTGTGACAATGTACCACAGATTTTTTGCACTTTTGTTCTGTGACCAGCAGAAGAGGATGACAAGCAATCGGGAGCGAGTGACCACCATGAATCAGGTGAACATCGCACGATATACATCAACGCACCGCAGAAGCAGAAGTTCTGCTCCAACGCTATCTCGTGAGTATTTGCGGCAGTGATCAAATTAATGTTTGTGCTTTCTGTACTGTACTGTTCCTATATAAAAGAAAGCATTTGTGGCAGGCCTGTCATTTCTTTCCTCAGATTACAGCACGTGATTCTGCATCCCTTCTGAGATCTTACTGACTGTTGCCACTAGGCACACTTTCTCATGTTACATGGACATATTGTACCGTATGGAAATACTGTGAATAACTCTAGTATGAGCCTAAATAGCCAGCCTCATGCAATATGATTAACTGCTCTGATACTTGCCTCAGCAAGTGGGCCGCAGCCATGATTTTTAGTCTCCCGCAAGTACCCACACATTGAAGGACTGAGCAGGGAGAGCGGTGGGAAGTTTAAATGAAATGTCTAGCCAATGTTCTTTTAAAAAAAAAAGCCTTTCACACCCCATATATGGGTCATTTCTGAAAGTAATTTGTTGTTAGGTTTCCAGGCACATATCGATACTGATTTCCACTATAATATGGATGCCCCAAGTTCGTACTCTGAAGGAAAGAGTTTTGTTTCTCAGTTATATTTTAACACACGATTATGGCAGCTTGGCGTGCCTCTGAAGAAACTTCAAAGAATGCTTGGTACCAATCATGTCAGTATTGCTCATGAATATACGCATTAGGAAAAAAAAAAAAGGTATGGGACGAAGGAAGTTATTTGCAGGCCGGATCACGAGTTTGAGTACCCTGAGTTAGTGTGTGCCGTCCAAAAAGTACTGCTTTCATTCCCTCTTTCATGCTTTTCAGGACTGCAAAATACAACGTCCTCTCCTTTCTCCCCAAGTTCCTATTCGAACAGTTTCGGCGATACGCCAACGTGTTCTTTCCTTTTCATTGCACTATTGCAGGTGAGCCATTTTTTGTTGCTATTGCTGGTGATAACAGACTCGAAGTAGCTTGTTTTGTTACAGGCTACCTTGTTTTAAAATTGTTTGGCTGCAGCGTGAAATCTTCAAAATCCAGTGTAGATACTTACTTTTCATATTATTCAAATATCTGCGATTAAAACGCGATGCGAGTATTCTATTGCAGTAAATTTAACAAATGCGCAGTAGGTTGTTTTACTGAATGTATGAGGGAGAATGATACATTCAAACCTCGTTTTACAGCCCTAGTCCTTTATACATGCACCAGTGTGACTCGCTCTTTGTTAGTAATGAGTGCGTTGTAACTGTAAATAATTCTTAGAAAGAGTTTAAACTGATACATTGAAGACATCTGTGCATAGAAAGTTGAACTACAGGCCTTCATCAATTTTTTTAGTTACTCCGGGAATGCTGATGTAGGTGTTGCACTGTACAATCTCTGTTTCGACTTGTTCAAATTTAATGTGCCCTTTCACATACAGGGTCGCATTTACATATCTTTGCAATCACTGCCTCTGCTTGCAGCAAATCCCCAATGTGTCACCGACAGGCCGCTACACAACGGCTGTTCCCCTCGTCTTCATTCTCGTTGTCTCAGCCCTCAAAGAAATTGTGGAGGATTTTGTAAGTTGTTTTCACACCTCTCTGTTTTCTTTATGTTGATCGCGTATCGATTTGCCCGTGTTCCTAGACAGCTTCACTCCAAACTTTCTTTTTTATAACCTCTTTGATGACAGCGGGCGGTATGCAATGAATTATCTGTAACACTCGTTGTACAAAGCTTCTGTTGGCAAGATATTGGTAGGGCTCTGCATATGGTGACATCATTTGAGGTGGCAGGTGTTTCTGCTGTGGACGAGGAGGCACATTATATTCAAGCTTGTAGCATAATTGTCGGACAGTAAAGACATCAGTTTGATGAAAAAGTAGTTTAGGCTGTAAGGGATGTATTGAACAAATGTGGCTGCAAGGTAAATCAGGAGAAACAACACTCAGTACTTCGACAAAAGGAGTGAAATTTTCGTGGTCTGAACATGTCAGATTGCAAAGTATCACGATGCTGCCCTGATGTTGAGATTTTGCACCACCTTCTTTAGATACCTTCATGTGGCAAATCCTAATGGTCGTACATTTTTTTCCCTTCTTTCTTTTGCTTTTTTTTCTCATGATGTATCAGTAAAGTATCATATGATGAGCCAAGCACCTTTTGAAGATCATTCATTGCTTTCTTGTCGCGGACCTCAAATATAGTGTTGCGTCAAATTTGCAAGTGCTGATTTCTTGGTAATTATTCCTCAGAGCGCAATAAAGATTTGTTTACTTGTGTCTGTGACAATCCTTGACAGTGCTTTGTAATGCAGTTATGATATATACTTAGCACTTCCAGTTATTTGTGTCCTTGTTTGGTAAATAATGAAATTTTTTTCTCTTCATTACAGAAAAGACACCTAGTAAAGAATGAAATTTTTTTCTCTTCATTACAGAAAAGGCACCTAGCAGATGATGCCGTCAACAATAGCATAGTCTTAGGTAAGCAGTTCGTCAAGTTCTGAACCTTGAGTATAACCATTACTCACATATGAACGATGGTAATATGTATGCAACCTTGGCAAATGTGGTCAATAATCTTGTTTCTGGGCGAGGGACTCATCACGTGTTATCAACCCCTCTGTACTGGTTACTCAGTACAGAGGGGTTTACTGTTGGAGGGAGCAGCGGAATGTGTGCCGTTTGCTTGGCACCACTGCTGGCCGGTTGCGGCAATCGGTTTCGTGCAGGAGCAGTCAGCGCTGGGAGTGGTGCTCCTGTGTCGTCTGATACACTTGCAGCTGAGCTTCGGATTTCTGCAAAGCGAGCCGGTTGCCGCGCTTTTAAATTTGTCTGCAGGCGACATGGTCACCCTCAGATGCAAAGCTGAGGGAAAGCTGAAAGGAAATTAGATTATGTAAAATTCTAGTGCCTAGTTGATATTTTTGTTAGTTAAAGAAGCATATCTTCGTAACCGACACCTTATTCTAGCAGAGTTGTATTAAAGAATATTTTTGCTTGTAGTGCGCGTATTTCATGAGCAGTAATTCAGATTCGAGCTGCTGCAGTGTGAAGCTGAACAAAGCAGTTAAAAGCGCCTTTAACTGGCACGGTTAGAAAGCTTTCTCGATAAGGGAAATTCTTTATCTAATGAGTAGGCGAACAAAAGACTGCAATCGGGCTGATGTGTCTAATTACATTTATCTGATCATATATAACTCCTGTCATTTTCCTTCTAGCTTGAAGGAAAGAGCCTTCTAGCTTGAAGGAAAGTTAGTGTTTCTTCAGATTTTGTGACTTCGGCCGTGCTCTGTGACGAGCTGAAGTGCGGCCCCAACTGTAGCGCAGCCGCAACTGTAGCAGACGACAAACAAATGCAACCCACAGCGCTCACTGCTTCTGCACAGAACTAGTTGCCGCAGCTGGCAGGCGGTGGGGCTAAACAGACGACACGCACTTCACTGTTCCCTTTAATAGTGGACCCCTCTGCACATCTGTTCTGTGTCAGCCTAACTTATCTTAAGCCTCCTAGCTTGCTTATGTCTTCATTCCATCTTATCTTCTGCTGCCTTTAATGGTTTTCCTACCTTTTTGCATCTGATCTGTTACTTTTAATGGACCACTGCAATGGAGCATCACACGAGCTGTCGATATGTGGCTTCTGGAAAAAATTCATGGCACATGGCTCTTCCATGTGTTGTGTTATTGGATAATAATAATTGTTAGGGTTCAGCGTCCCAAAACCACCATATAATTATGAGCAACACCGTAGTGGAGGGCTCCGAAAATTTCGACCACTGGGAGTTTTTTAACATGCACCTAAATCTAAGTACATGGCCATTCAGCGCCTCCATTGAATATTAGGCTGGCAGAGCCGAGGTTTGATATCTGGGGGATGGTTACTCAGTACTCCGGCATATTTTTAGTATACACTCAAACGTCATCATAACAAAGTCGTATCTTACTCAGTACTCCGGCATATTTTTAGTATACACTCAAACGTCATCATAACAAAGTCGTATCTGCCACGAAAATACTTTGTTGTATCCAAAACTTCGTTATAAACAATAGTTTGTAACACAATCTATAGCAAAGCTTTCGGTCACTTGCTTCGTTATAACAAATAATTTGTTATATCCAAATTCGTTATATAGAGGTATGTGTGTAGTTGGAAAGCTTTAAAACTGAAATAGTGATTCAGTCTGTTCAGGTCCATGGACAACGGTACAGCCAGTCACAGCTGCAAGCTGAATACTTGACTCTCCTGTTTAGATGATAACAAAAGCCATTTATGATTGGCTAGAACAGCTGTGTTGCTGAGAACACAGAAGTGTCAAATGTATGATAAGTTGGGCATGCACTGTGCCAAGCTTTTGCTTTTATTTTTTTGCTCTCCTTGCGTTATCATGTTAATTATCATGAAGTTCTAGGTCATTTAATTGCTTGCACATTGAATATGGATGAATAAAAAACTGAATTTGTGATTCAGATTCTGCAGCCGGAGCTTTCTCCAATTATTACATCGTAGTTATGCATCTTTAGAAATGGCCTCAGCTGAAAGTCATGACTACTACTCATTTCTCATTTTTCTATGTAACACACCTCATATGTACCCCTCCCCTTTTTTGTGCTTGCTACCCGAGGGTATAATAAATTGAAAAAAAAAAATAAAATGAGCTTTTAAATCTATTATGGGTAGCATAGTTTTTTGTATTTGTTTTTTTGCAGTAGCGCATAAGGTATTGTTTTGATCAATGCGAGCTTGAGCTTCACAATCAGTGCTCACTTTTGGGAGTGCTTGTGCAATTTCAATTTTCTTTTGCCAGCCCTGCGGGACGGGGAATGGAAGGGGATCAGGTGGACACAGGTTGTGGTGGGCGACTTTCTCAAGATCACCAGCGGCCAGTTTTTTCCAGCTGACCTCGTCTTGTTGTCTTCAAGGTAAAACAGTGCCGTGCGCGACTTCTTGACCCCCGTACCATCGTAATACACTGTTCTTTGGTAGTTTAGTGTGAGAGTGTTTGTACAGTTTAAAAGCTGCGTTTGGGCTATCAATTTTTTATCCTTAAATCTCTTTTTTTTTTGTCTGTGCTAGCTAGAAAGGAGAATGGCATTCTGTTGGCGTAAATGTTCATTTCAGTCTATCATCTATTCTAATCAACCTGATGTTTATACAAGTGTGTTTGCGAAATTACACAGCTGTGCTTTTTTGCCATTAATTTAGAACAGCAAGAAATACATTTTCAAAAGAAAAACAAGTAGTACTTGTTTTCATTGATGAGACCATATCAAAAGCAAACTGCTGTGTGTATTCGTCTAAACATTGCTGCTGACTTGCGAATTTTTTTGCCAGACTCAACTTACAAGAGTTGGTTTTTCTAACAGCTGATTGAAATTCATCAGGTAAATTCACTTATGAAAAAAATTGCAATTTATCTAAGGAGACCACGAAGTGACAATAAAATTGTCTTGTTGCATATGCATGTTTTATTCATGAGTAAAGCAAAATCATTTTAAAAAAAGACTACATGACTGTTGAAAATTATGCATTGCAAGAGCACGGACGTACAAAATAAGTGCACAAAATGACATCAAGTGGGAATACGGGAAAGTTGCTGTTGGTTCAGTCAGCATCGTCGTGCCACACTTGCGTTTGAGATGTCGCTCTCTCATCAACATCCGAGTTTTAACTGTTAACTCCTTGTATGGCCAGCTGGCATTACTGAATCAGATTCTGATTCAGCAGTCAAGTGGTGATTTGTAGGACTGTTCCCTAAAATTTCACCAGAGAAGCAGTTGCACACTTCTATGCTGCTAGCATCGTGCATGGTTGAATGCACTGAACAAAATTTTGTAGCTGTGAGTGCATCCAGAAAGCAAAGACAAGGCCAGTACCAAACACAACCCCAGTGGCCTCGTTTTTGTCAACAAGTGCTTGCATAGAAATGGGCGCAATCACACTTCGGGGAGCAACAACCGAGGAAGTAACAAGTCGGTTCCCTTTTGAAAAATTCTAAACCGGAAAACCATGAGTTTTGTGGGCACGACTAGTGGGAACCAGCCAAAAGGCAAAACTTAATCTAGCCAGTGCATTGCTATAATAAAGCACTAGATAATGAAGAGGAAATGGCAAAAGAATAAATGCCATGTACTCCTGCAATGCGGCATCGCGTGCCAAGGAAGGAAAAAAAATTATTGAAAAAAGTGTGTTTTTCAAGCATGTAAGTGATAACGTAATTGCCCCTGATAGGGCCAACAGAGTCGGACACACTGATTGCGTGCTTTCCTTCAATTATATTTTGATACGATAATTGACAGGTGGCTTTCTCAAATATTTTCAGTGAACCACAAGGAATGTGCTATATTGAAACTGCGAACCTCGATGGTGAAACAAACCTCAAAATAAGGCAGGTAAGTGATGAAGAATTGCATGTGTGATAACAGTGCACCTAAGTCTACTATGTGCCGATGACATCCAGCATTGCTCACTACTACTCTCTGCTTCATCAAGGGTCTGCCCCAGACGGCAGGGCTGCTCACCACCAAGAGCCTCGTTGAAATGCAGGGCCACGTAGAATGTGAATTGCCGAATCGCCACCTGTACGAGTTCCTTGGCAACATCCACATCAGTAATCCCAAGTGAGTTTGAACCTCGCTAGTGACTGACACTAATTTAGCTTTTTTTGGTGGTACAGTAAAAGCTCCCTAACTTGGATTTCACGGGACTAAAAAAAATTGACCAAATCAGCTGTACTCTGAATTAGTCGAAGGTATCAAGATAAAAAACAATGAACAGGTGTCTGTTATGCCAATACATTCGGATTTTCTTGGTGCATGTGTAATCCTGCATTTACTTTTCATAAGAGCAGTGTAAAATTCACAATTTCTTGTCATTTGCCGTGGCTGAGGACCACCTGTTCTAGTTCACCTGAAATGTATCAACTCTTAATCAACCTGAAACATTGTTACTATATGATTTGCAGTGATTATGATAGCAATGCAGACTGAGCCCCTTCGTTTTGGTTGTCTGCGAGTGCCACTTTCACTCGTTTGCGTTGCACATTTGGAGCGCTCTCTGCTCGGTGCACTCCAAGAATCATCCGAATTAGCTGGGTTGTGGCCAAGTATGAACACATTAATGAGAACTTGATGTCCTTAAACATTGAATATGCTTGCTGGGACTAGGGAACATCTCCAGATATCCAATGTTAAAAATTAACGAGGGCTGAATCGGGAGGCCTTTGCTGTACTTGGGAGCAACAGCTCCTTTAGGGTCCTAGTCTGTGCATATGGCCTATATTGCGTGACAGATAACAAAAGCCAAGCGTAGGGAACAAATCTTCTAGCCTCAGTGAGTGAGCACCCTGGTCAAGTTAATATACTTCAGTTGAGCTACATGGTTAGTATATTATAGCAGGAGGTTCCAAAAGTTTCAGAGAAACTGACAGGGGTAATGAGTGGGGCTACATAAATGGGGTAATTACAAAAAAGAATACAGCAAAAGTATATTAACATGGGAGCAATAATGAGCAAGCTTGATTACAATAACAATATGATGAATATATAGTATTATGACAACACTATTTAAAAGAAAAATCGCATGGAAATGATGAAAAGCTAGTGATAAAACTGGAATAACTAAGCAAGGACTATAGAACAGCTCTACCTAAAAATGCAACTCGTTTCATTATTAGTCATACAAAAGTAACTGTTCAATATGAAAATAGCACAGCAAGGTTGAGAGCTGTTAATTACACAGTTCAGAATAGCTGACAAGTTCCTGAACAAATTGTTTCTTATTGTGTGAGATGAAAATATGAATATTTTGCAATGATTTTAATTCAAAAGGTGATGAATTCTAGATAGCTATGCTTGTAAATAGAGTTATGAACTTGCAGTTGTTTGTCCTCACTGCCGGCAAAATATGATTGTTTGGCTGGAAAAAACTGGGTAATATTGCTATAGCTAATTGCCTCGGTATCACTTAGTTATCTCATGTAAATCTGTGTCAAAGTTGGTCTCGAGCGTAAAAACCCATTTAGATGATGTAAAGATAGTTGGGCCAGGGCCATAAGATGGTTGGCCATCAGCGTATAGTAGGTGCTTAGCACTAGTAAGAAGCTTGTTTTACACATGAGTACCACATACAAGTGAGATCACTGCATAGATTTTTTTATTTACCCGTCTTTAGAAGCTAGATGAATGCACTTGAAATGTGTAAGAGCACTTGCTTCACTTAAATTTATTACATTTTTACTTTGTGTAGTGGCCACAAACTGTTTGTTCATTAGCTATGCCAGTGTTAATGTATGTGCAGTGGTACGACCCCAAACTTGATTGTTCACATGTTTATCTGTTACGAAACTCATATGTAAAATTTTCATTGTTGTTGCTTTTTCCCTGTTAACATCAAGTGTTCACTCCATTTCAAAGCTTGAGAACTGATCGTTAAAAGTATTTTAAAGGTTCTAAGTAGTTCTAAGTATCTATAAACCCCTAATTCCGCATCCGAGCAGGCGTTCAATTTATCAATGCTCAATAATTTTTCAAGGGTTTGCTAGGAAGTGCACTCTTTTAATAGCATTTCATGATATTTACAAGGCCTTCAAGAACAAGTCCTCTGTGTCCTGACCAGATTCTCCTTCGCGGTGCCATGTTGAAGAATACAACGTGGGCATTCGGTAAGTTCGTGCATTTGTTTTTGTGCACTGCTGGTAGGTGCACCATAATCTTTATGAATTGAACCTTGGTTGATCGCATGTAGCTGTTCTATTTTATTGCCTGAGAAAGAATTCACACTTAGGTGCAGGACACATTGAGTACTACCTGTATTTATTGAAACTTATGTTTGCCCTGGGATTTTCTCCAAGTTGGTTTGCTTTGCATGTTAAGTGGCTTTAATTGTACTGCTGTCTACTTCCCTCTTAAAGCTTTTAGACAGAGTTACAGGTGGATAACAGTTACAGGTAGATAATAGACCAATAATCTGCCCGTTACAGATTCTTGCGCGTGGTGATATTTGTTTCAGTTGTGGGGATGCTGACACTCCCTGTAAAGTTTGATATTTGTTTCAGTTGTGGGGATGCTGACACTTCCTGTAAAGTTGTTCGCGCTGCGGTGCGCACGTGCCTCGCACAGCAGCCGCATTTCGAGGCACAACTATTGAGCGGCAGGTGGTGTTGTGTTCGCAAGCGTTGATCACCACTATAATCATGATGGTTAGATCGGTAGCACCGGTTGTGACCCCTGGCGGCAAGCCTTGGTGGTGGCACGAGATAGTTGAGCGAGGGTTGTTTTGCGCGAGCAGTTGTCTCTCTCAAGGGGACCCCGGTGCACTGCACCGCGGGCCGTCTGCTGGGGGCACTTGTGGTTAGTCAGGCATTAGCGACACCGCCTTGTTTGTCATGTTGTTGAGTGTTGTGTAATATTGTGTAAAGTTGTTTTGCCTGTGGATCACAATTGATGTATAATAATTCGGCTGACGATATTGTCGTTCTAAAGATAGTTAAATAAAGGTGTTTTGTTTGGTTTGGCCCGACCGCGTCTGCCGTGTCCGTTCACTCCAAAAGCGTGCTCTCCACATCGAGACCCCACACAGTAAATGGCTTGTTACTTGAAAGCTTATTCCAGTCTGCTTAATAAGAACCTTTACTTTCAGGACTTCAACATTCAGTACATATACAGTAGTAGCACCTTTCCAATATATTTTCATAGGCCCCTGAAAAGAAAGTTCTGTAGCTGGGAAACCTGTCATGCAAACATGCAGGTAAAATTTGCAAAAAAGTACAGCTGAGAAATAAAACAGACACATTACACACTTTGGAGAAATTCATTCAACATGAGACAATGAAAAAATAAAGGAAGGGACGATGACGTAGTGATAAGAGCGGATACTTCCAATTGTTAGAAGTTCATGCTCTTTCTACTCTCTCTCTCTGGTGTCATCTCTTTTATAATTTTTTCATAATATTTCAAGAGTTTTAAGGAATTAACTGGCCTAGCAAACAAGAAGTCTGGATTATTCATTAGTTTAAGGCTTAAAAGAAGTTATATGGGGAAACGTTCAAGTGAGGGACGCGTAAGCAATGTTTCGCTGCATGTGAGATCAGGTAGCTTTAAGAGGTTATATATGATATTTAATGGCAATGTCACTTTTATCTAGTATATTTTTAAGTACAGATGCATTGTTAGAATTTTTTTTACTATTTTGCTTGCAGGTCTTGTCATCTACACGGGCCATGAATCAAAGCTCATGATGGTCAGTATGCCTGTTAGATCCCGGGAACGGCATTTCTGGAAAGTTTAGGGCACTGTAGAATTATTTTACTGTTTTTGTCACCTTGCACAGAACTCCACTGCTGCCCCGTTGAAGCGGTCTACCGTTGATAAAGTCACCAACACCCAGGTACATGTCGCCTTTTGTTTTAGTACAATGTGAAACTTTCTTAAAAAACATAATTAGTACTGCATAAAAATGCACAAATGAAAACTGAAATGAAGGAACTTCCAAGACAACAGTGGTGGCCTAATGGTCAAACCTCTGTTTAGCAGAATCGAATCTAGTGAACCTTTTTAATGTAGTCCATTGAGCTTTTGATGTTCCTACACATACTCCTAAAGTCTTATGTATTAAAAACCTTAATGCAAGGCTGATCGTCTCTCTCAATTGAAGAGTGGTTGAAGAGAAATTAATTGTACCTGTGTGATTGCATTTTATAAAAATGAAAAATGACATGCTCTTTAAGTTCAAGTACTATGAGACCAAAATCGTAGTAGTGACTAGTTATCGTCCTCTCTATTAAAGATGTCTGTTATCCATTCCAGAAAATGTGGAAGCTCAACTAAACTTTTTTGTTTGCTCAATAGTATGTTCAATAAGGCTGTATATTGCAGAAATGTGTTATCCAAATGCAGCATGCAGATGCAAGCATTAGATGCCCTATGTAGGAGATATTGAGAAGGATAAATGTGTCATTTATGATTAGAGTATGTTAGGTTCTCTCTTGCCATGAGGAACTGGTGAGTGAACAAATAAGTGTATTACATTTTTGGCATGAAAATTTAATTTCATATTTCTATTGATGGCATCATGATTTATATTTGAAACAGTTAGAATGGGCTCCACGATATATCCGCATAAAAACCATAAAGTGCGAATGAGCTATGCGTTTCACTTTGTTTTAGTTCAGGTCAAAGATGCAATTGGCCTTGTGTATTGTTCTCATAAAAAGGTAAATTATTTACTCAGTGGGTGTGCATTTGTAATAAATGAGGCGTTATCAGCTTTCCAAGTTTTTTTGGAGCGACAAACCCTGAAATTTCATTAAGATTTATTGTGAACCTCTCGTCAATACTTATAGGAGTGGAAAGCCTGCATTCCTCTTAAGCTTTGGTGTCATTCCATGTGTGTGTATTTGCACGCCCATTGTATAAATCTGACTTTTATTTCTTGTCAAACATACTTTATGTACTGAAGTGTGTGATTCGTTGTGCAGATCATCATGTTGTTCCTGCTGCTGATAGTCTTGGCACTGATCAGCTCGGTAGCCAGTGAGATTTGGACTGCAAAGCACGCCGCCACCGACTGGTATCTAGGCCTAGATGGTTCGTGTTTTCACGTGTCTTTATTATTGCCTGTATTGCTTTTTTTTGCACAAATATGATGCTGCTACCATTATGGCAGCAAAGCCTACATTTTGTGGCCTGATATTCAAAAAAGGATACAGTGCAGTAAAAATAGTTAAAGCGACATGTTAACAGGGTTAAATTATATAGGGTTGATGCTCAGTTATCCGAATGAGCAATCAACATAACTTTTTCTTGCTTGCTAAAATCATAATTTCATCTGTAAAATCTATTAGCTGATGATTTTGCTGGCAAGTACTGACTGTAGTCTTTTGCAGTTATTCACTATTACTGCTATAGACTTTTATTTCTCTGAGTTGCCGGTTTCTTCTTATCAGTGTGGCCTCACATGCTAATGTTAGACAGATCCAGCATTATACAAACCACAGTTAGGTATAACTTGGAAACAATTACCATTAAGTCGTAATTAAGATAAAATTTGCACCTAAGAACATTTTTGATAAAAAACAACCTTGATAGGTGATGCAAGAATGGGAGCGAAAATCAGAGGCTCTTACATTTGTTTGAGAAGTTACATTTCAGGCATTGCATGCCTGCAAATCTAATTGTCTGGTGAGCAACAGTCTTCTTATAGTTGTTACTAAAACCTTTAGTCCGCCGGTATCTTCTGGTGTTGTTGTTGGTTATTCTGTAAAGTTTTTTAGGAATTAGTTTCTCGACTACGTTTCTGTTTGGTGTGGTGACGTACTTTTCCCACTTTTTCCTCACTAGGAACATGTAAGTAGATACAGCAACATTTTGCTGTTGATACTAGTCTACTTATTCATGGCTTGAACTTCTTACTCTTAACTTTATGTGTGTTTCTGCCTTGCATATTTCAACATCATATCTGGGACAAAAAAAGAGAGAGAAAGAAAATATTATGAAAATTTCATTAAGACAACAGATCTGCATGTGTTAGCAGTAGAACGTTAGTTGTGTTTAATAACTGCATTCATTGTGATAGTCATCAGTTGCCAAGTCCTGCCTGAAGTGCTAATTGAGATGATCACACCAAAGGTGATTGCTGTTCTAAACAGAAAGCTCCATCGTCTTTGTTGAACAAAAAAAGGTGGAGTATTATGAGTGGGAATTGATTTAACCCTGAAAGGATTGAATTTTGCAGAAAATGCATGCCAGGAATGTGTAAATTTTATATTGTTGAAATAAATTCTTCAGATCATTTTATTTAAGAAAAAATTGTGTGATTTTTTTTTGTGACCGTTATGTGACAAATCATTTTGTGCTGTTACATACACATGGTTTATTTAAAGTAACATCGAGCAAAATCCTAAACAAAACCACTTTTATGATTTTTTATTAATAAGAAATATGCATTATAACAAACTAGCTCACAGACATACTAAAATAAGTGCACCAGAGTTCTTTTCGGGTAAAAAATCTTTTTGCTCAAACACTAAACACTGGGGAATAGTCACCTTTGATTTGATTCTAATCATATCACCCGGCACGCTTTCGAGATGTCGCTCCTTCATCATTATCTAATAATAAGTCTGAACTCGTAAGTAAATCCTTGTCTGGCGAACTGAAATCCAATGAATCAGTTCAGGGGAATAGTTCGTATCGGAAGAATCACCACTCAGCTCACTAGCAGCATAGCAACCTGTGTGCACTTTCATAGCATAAGCGAACTGCACGAGAGAGTGCATGGAAGAAATCTGTATGGTTGCGCACCTATCCGGACAACAAAACGAGTGAAAAAGCTATAATATGTCTTATCACCAATAAGAGGGGGTGAGTTATTCCGAGTGGCCAAAACGAAAAACGCAACTACGGCGGCGTTATTCATGTACCGTATTTTTCGATGTATAAGTTGCGGTTTTTTTCTGAATTTTTCGTTGGTGCGTCTTATACAACGATGCGACTTATATACATTCAAAATCGAGTTGGATGCCACGGCTTGGGTGGCGCTGTTTACGTCAAGCGGGCATCAAAATGGCGTCTACGGCGCTTCACCGCCTTCTGCGATGCACAGAAACCACATTTAAAAAGAAAGTAAGATTAACGGTAAGTTAACACCCTAAAGATAACGCAGCTATGTAGTTTTGCACAAAAAAATAATCAGAGGGGTGAAAATGTGGAGGTATTTTTTAAATTATAAATTATGGAAAGCAAGTTTGGATTTCAGAGCCACTTCCTTTACCGTCACTTCCGTCCGCCATATCGTCTTCATTGCACTCGCTGTGTCGCTGTTGCTGCATGTGTCTCGTGTGTTGTGTTGTGCGTCGTAGCATAGAGCCGGTAGCGCCGTAGAACCTCGCAAACCATGGCGCCGCTTGGAAAGCAAAGTCGGCGAAGCTATGACGCCAAGTTCAAGCTGCGCGCTGTTGAATTCGCCGAAAACCACGGGAACAGAGAAGCAGGAAGGCAATTCGACGTCAGTGAAAAAATAATCCGTGACTGGCGCAAGGCCCACAGCGTCCTCCGGACGATGAAGTTGACAAAGAAGGCCAACCGCGGCAAGAAGGCGCGCTGGCCGGACCTCGAGCGTAGCCTGCGCACGTGGGTACTGCAACAACGAGCCGAAGGAAGAGGGCTGTCAACAGTGCAGCTGCGCCTGAAGGCGAAGGCTCTGGCAGCGGAGAGCATTGTTATTTATTTATTTGATTTTATTTATTTTATTTATGATATACTGCGAACCATTTAAGGTCCAAGCAGGAAAGGTACAGCAAGTTCGAAGGTAAAATAAAGGTACAACAAAGTTGCAACAAAATTGATACTGGTATACACGAAATGTAAGAAAAACATAGAAATCACCATCAAATTATACTCGTTTACAAGATTCAATGTTACAAGATTCAATTCGTGTTACAAGATTCAATGGTGGTCCGTCATGGTGTTTCCGCTTTATGCGACGGAATCAGCTGGTTATGAGAGCCCGGACGACAGTGTGCCAGAAGCTGCCCGACGACTTTCAGGCGCAACTGGACAACTTCAGCTCATTCGTGAGAAAGGAAGTTGCGAAGAAGAATGTCAGCGCGAGCCACATCGTTAACATGGATGAAGTGCCGCTGACATTCGACATCCCGCTTGAGAGAAGCATCGCCGAAAAAGGCCAGAAAACTGTCACGGTGAGGACAACAGGCCACGAGAAGTCCCACTTCACCGTTGTGCTCGCCTGCTGCGCGGACGGCACAAAGCTGCCTCCCATGCTAATATTTAAGCGGAAAACCTTGACGAAGGATAATTTCCCTCCTACAGTGGTGATTCAGGCGAACACAAAAGGTTGGATGGACGAGGGAATGATGAGTGTGTGGCTTGACCGCTGGTTTTCTCGTCGACCTGACGGATTCGTCCACGTGAAGCCAGGAATGCTGGTAATGGACAGTATGCGGGCACATATCACCGATATTGTCGAGAAAAAGATCTGTTCAAAGAACTGTATGCCAGTGATTATTCCCGGCGGCATCACGAAGATGCTTCAGCCGCTTGACATTTCTGTCAACCAAAGCTTCAAGGCAGTTCTGCGACGTTCGTGGGAAACGTGGATGTCGGAGGGAGAACACAGCTTCACAAAAACGGGGCGCATGAGACGCGCAGAGTTCGGCGAAGTGCCGAAATGGGTGAGTGACGCTTGGGAGTCAATTTCTGCGAAGACCATTGTGGCGGGCTTTCGCAAGGCCGGTTTGATCCCCTGCGCGGCCGATGGCGACGTTGAAGAGTCCGATTCGAGCGAGTCGGAGGACGATAGTGATGTGCCAGCAGTACTGCAACCAGAAGTAGCTGCATTGTTCGTGAGCGACTCGGAGGAAGACGACTTCGATGGCTTTGAATAAACGTCACCAAGCTATCGGAATAATAAAGGTACTTCTGAAAGTATTGTTTTTATGTGTGTTTAAAAGCGCTCGCACGCGTGACTGCGGATAGCTAGAAACGTGCAAAAGCGTTGGCCGTCGCAAGCATGCATTTTTGCAATGCATTGTCACGACGAGATACTTAAATGTCGGTGGTCGGATGAGCAAGTGCGTCGTCTACACTGGTGCGACTTATGCACCGGTGCGACTTATATACGTTTTTTTTTCAGAAAAACTGCTATTTTGAGGGGAGTGCGACTTATACAAGGGTGCGACTTATAAACCGGAAAATACGGTACTGTAGCGCCACACGGAAACATGTAATTACGCCCCAGTTAGCAATAAACTAGTGTGTTGCAAGTGGTCACTCTTAGAAAGATTGAAACCAGACAGTGATTAGCTATGCAGGTACAAGAAGCAATAACCACCTGAAATACGAAACCATAACCAGCCGCACCACATGCGCATGTTCGGAAGTACAAGTCAAGGTCGCTGTGCTGCTTTAGTAAGAAACAAGAAACGGAGAGGTATTGCCTCTTGAAAAAAATTGCACATTTTCCCGAAGCATGGCAGCAAATTTCAAGCAAGAAAAATGATTGATCATGCACACATTTCAAACCAGCCGCACCGTAGGCGTGTTCGAATGTGCTAGTGCCTTCTGGCGCATTACCTTGCGAAGCATAAAAAAAAAAAGCAGCAATGAAGAGATGTCCATGCTTTAAAAAAAATTCCAGTTTCCAGAAGCAAGGTACACACGCCGAGTAAGAAAAATGACAAAACAAAGCCACGAGTTTTAAACATAGACGCAGTGCCGTACATGTGCAATAAAAACACTGTGGGCCATGTTAGGGGCTGCTCTACATGTACGGCAAAAACCTTGAAAGGGTCAAGGTAGCTTTTTTGGCAATGACAGCACTTTCTAATGACACCTTGGAAGGCCGACAGGCACAGCAAGTTGTTCTGCTTCATGTTTCCTGACATAGGAAGGAAATCCCATGGCTTCAATCTTCTGTTAAAACGTCAATCTATAAATTCCGGCTCATTCACAGCATTCAGTGAATATTCACATTTTTAATCACTCATTCCCGGACGTCTGCAGAAATATTGCAGCTACTGTTGGGGATGAAAGGTTGTTTAGAGTGGTTTCTGAAAACTTGTGTCCACGAAGAACTTACATTCTATTGCAAAGACAAGGCCTAAGATGTGTCAAGCTGTTCACTTTGTATTCTGTTTTTTTATTTTTTTTTGTGGCAATGTTTCACTTGCACCGTAACATGGCTTGCCTTCCTACAGCCTTAATTCTCATTGTATCTCTCCCGCTCTCTGTTGCCCCCTTTTCTCCTTGCAGATCTGAGCAGCAACAGCAACTTTTGCTACAACTTCCTCACCTTCATCATCCTGTACAACAACCTGATCCCCATCAGCCTGCAGGTGACCCTGGAAATGGTGCGATTCATACAGGCCAGTTTCATCAACATGGTATGTGCATAATACCTATATATTTTTCTGAATATTGTTAATGCATTTAATTCGCCATCGGTGCTCCCACTGCATAAATTTGCACTCGGGCACCAACGCATAGTTCCTTACTAGCCCGCAACCCTAATATGAATATGTTTATGGCTTCTACAGCAAAGCTGTTTACACCAAAGGCTAGGCTGTTTGGTATGCGCAGAAAAATTTTGCCATGGTGTAGGAAGAAGAAGAGAGGAGGAGGAGAATAAATAAATAAAACGGAATCAAGTTTCTTACCAAGGCAGGATTCCAACACTAGTGCCGATGGTCTGTAGGCTAACGTTGGACGTTATCAGAACACGCATTTATAAAAGAACCATATGATTGTGTTGCTATGGGCAAAAAAAAAAAAAAAAGAAAAGAAAGAAAGAAACAGAAAGAAAGAAATCAAGAGAAAGAGAGAGAAATAGAAAGAGAGAGAGCCTAAAATCTGATTTCCTAGACTTGGCCTGGCTTTCTCAGGCTTAAAGCACGAGACAAATGTGCGATTTTCTCTGCGATTCGGCATGCGGTGCGACGATGCGACTGCCGGAGTGGTGACGTTTTGTGACGTTTCGTGACGTATCATTGCGTCGCACCGCCGCATAGCCGGTGCGGTGAGCATCAAACCGGCCAGATATTTTCGTCGCAGCATCGCACCGTCGCACGGCAGCAGCCAATCACAGCGCGAGCATACGAGTCGCGTCACGATCCTAGTGGCACCATCTCCCTGTCGCCGCTCCTATCACCTGTGGTGCAAGGCTCCAGGTGAGTCGATGGAGCGGTGCGAGCGTGGATTTGCTAACATCGCCGACTGCGGCAACGTGACAAACATCGAGTACATTTCCTTGGTGACGTGATATTATTCCGGATTGAATAAAGTGATGCTTAAAGTGTGCATTTTCTGCACGACAACGCCCGTTTTGAAACCGCTAGCGAGATCGGAGATCGTGAGCAGCGATGCAAGGTCATTTCGCAGGTAAACACAGCTACCGGCGTCTCTGCGCTGGCTCGCTTTGCTTCCACCTTTGCTCTTCACATCGATGGCATCGATAAAGTAGTAATGTATGCTAACGCATTAGATATGAGGGCAATTCTTGATAGTGTTGTTAAAAACAAGCGCTCGATGACGGTCTCGCGTGTGAATGGCGTAGGCGACGGCCGGCGCCCGAGATGCTAGGCCTACCTGTCGGAGTCGTGAATAATCAGCTGTTGCCGTGGTTACGACGTGCTTGTCGTTCACGAATGTGATTTGTTAATTATTTTTATAGAACTAAGCATGGCTGGGCAATGTTGTTTGTTTTGAGCCTCATTACGAGGATACCAAGGCGTTCGACCCTGCATGCTGAGGCACCGCATGGGGGCGGAGCCTGCCGCTGATAGCTCCTTTGCCCTCGTGTGTCCCGAAAGGTCGCATGCGGCACGCCGCGCAATGCGATGCCACACGCCGCATCACACGGAAAATCGCACGTCTGTCTCGCGCTTAACTGCCCCTCCCTATGCTCATGTGAGTATATCTAGGCTTAACTTACTAGTATCTCTCGGCCAGCCTTTGCAAGAATGCTAAGGAAAGCTGCCCAGCTTTGCTGTTCTGTAAATGGCCACTCACCACCCCGCAATTAAAGATGAGGGGATGATTTTGTCCTCTCCTTCATACACACAACGCATTCTCCTTGCCCCTTAGTTCTGAAATGCACGTGAATATTATCAGCACCAAGCGCTCGAGCCTATCAGATTATCGTGTTTCTTGGCTGCACGCTGTTATCGCTGCTTGTGCAGTTGTAAACACACACACACAAAAAAAAAACAAGTTTGATCGGTTCGTTTTGCATGACATTCATGCTAGACAAAACGGAACGGATGGGCGGCTGCACGGCAAAGCAGTGCAGGAGACAAATCACATGTGATAATTCGTCTATATAAACCAATCGACTGCAAGTACGCTGTAGACATCAGGGAACTACTGTCTGCGTCACAGAAGTTCGCAAGAAGGATAAGATATATCAGTTGAGAATATTGCTTTATTTTTGTATTTGGGAGCCTGGTGAGTGGCCCTTTAAGGCTTGGAACTAGCAGTGCGAAGCGGGCCTGATATTTCTGTCACGCACATCACACATTAAATTGCATGCGTTGGCGTTCTGTGGGCTCATGCAGCTCCTTCATATGCCTGTCTTGTCAGGATTCAGAGATGTACTACGAAGAGACGGACACACCCGCTATGGCCAGGACTTCCAATCTGAATGAGGAACTCGGCCAGATCAAGTACATATTTTCTGACAAGACCGGCACTCTGACTTGCAACATCATGGAATTCAAGCGATGCAGCATTGCTGGCCGGATGTACGGGTAGGTGACATGCCAGTGCCTGTTCATTTTGTAGTGATGAACTTAATTTTATCTCTATTCTATTCTAAAAAGACAGTGTCACTATAAGCAAGCATTGTTTCTTATAATATTACCAGTGAAATGCGTTTCCTAATGTGAGTTTCCTAATGCGTGCTTCACAACGACTGGTTTACTTGGGTATGGATGTGTAAGAAGTCAAGTTTTGAAAGCCTCTGCATGGGTGAAACCTATTTTTTACTTACAGTTGTTATAACTTGTAAGAAAGAAACAAAAGGCAATTGAAACTGTCCCCTCCTGAGTGCACAACATCCCATTTCTGCCTCGTATTTTTTATTGCTTGATCATACAAAACACCCTATTGAAGTATAAAGAGCATTGCTGTCAAGCTACACTCAAATTACAATGCTTGAACACCCTGGGCCTCCACATTGTATTTAAATGTACTTACTTTTCAATGTCACTTATATGTATGCATGTACAGTAATGTGTTCTTCCACAATGAATTTTTGTTTACAAGGATGCCCATCTTATTTGCAGCACTTTAGACGAAGGACTTGATCCCAAGGAGATTCACGATATTCTTCGCAAGAACACGGTAAGCTGTGAATTACAATGTTTGATGCCATCAAACAAGGCAAACTATGCCAAGTGCAGGCAGAGGGCCTCCCTGTTCAGCGCATGTGACACATGACATGCCATAGGGTTGCTTGACAAAGTTGTTATGTCACTGGGCTGACACTTTGCACACTTCGTGTTCATGAAAAGCATCGACGTAGTGGCAGGCGCAGCTATATATAAAAAAAAAAATCGACAAACTTCAGGCGTGGCAGTATCGCGCGAATCTTGTGAAATGGTCCAGCGGCAGAATTTTCGTTCCACTCTCGGTCAAGATTTCAAGTTATTCGCAATGCGACCCAAATATACTTTGAGGTAAAGGGAAAAATATACATGTAAGGTATAGGCAAAAAATTCTGACTTAGCCAATTTTTCAGGATATGCAAGTTCAAGTTAACAAGGTATTACTGTAGTACCAACTCACCCCATACACCTCAGTTTTCCTTTTGTTTGTCTAGATGAACATTGCCTTGAGAGCTGCTCATTAGGTTTTGACCACGAAGCACTGTATGCTGTTGAACATCCACTCATGGTTTTCCACTATGCCCATTTATGACTTGGTTTGCTTGCTCCATGAGTGCAAATGCTCTCTGTTTTCTATTTGGTCACTTTGTGGTGCACCTGTGAATGTGCACATGTTTCTGCTGCTTTTTTTTTCTCTTTTTTTTTTGCTTTATTGGATCTTGGGCACTTCTCAAACTACTCTTCTAGCTTTTTGCTCAGGGCCCATTTCCTGTATTTTGCTCAAAATGAACATTCATTCATTAATATTTCATATTTTGTCCTTCAAATTGCATTCCTAGGCTGCCACACCCTATGTGCGGGAGTTCTTCACGCTGATGGCTGTTTGCCATACAGTGGTGCCTGAGATTGACCCTGAAACAAATTACATCAAGTACCAAGCCGCATCACCCGGTAATGAACCATGCTAATTGTGTTGTAGGCTGTGATGTTTAGTACCCCTGGAAGTTTCTGTCACTAGTCGAAATTTGCTTGCAGTAATTTTTTCAGTTCCTAATTGTGTTGTAGGCTGTCACGTTTAGTACCTCTGGAAGTTACTGTCTTGAATGGTAACATATTCAGGGCATGAATTTTTGCGATGCCAGATGCATAGAATGTCATGTTCTCCTGTGGGAACGTGTAAATTATGTGTGCAGCAATTACATTGCTATTCACAAATGCATGTCAGCAAAAATAATGCAAAACAGGTGGCAAATTTCCACATTCTTCATACCTTGGTTAAATGGTGTGTCATGAGATGTTGCTATCAGTAGCGCTGTTTGCATTTGGTCATTTTCATATTCGCACACATTTGTATGCTAGCATGTATCAAATGTGCTGCGATTCTTTATCGATGCCTCTACAGGTTTTTTTTAAATAACACATGCCATTCTAGAGCGGGAGTCAGAATGCATGCGACCTTCACTACGTTAATGCTGTTATGCTATCCGATTGCTCATTTGGAGTCTTAACATTGGTATGTATTGCTTTTAGCAGGAAGGTCTTCATCTTCTTTAGCATCCGCACCAATTTTTATTTGCAAATTTTTCTAGGGAACTTGTACTCATTAAATTCTTTTTTAAATTGCCTCGTCTACTACCTAAAAGTACTTGCTGAGGAAGTTGCAGTCATTGTGAACACGTTACACTGGTGAAATATGAAAGTTTTTGTTTCCTTTAGCTGTGCGCATTGTATTTTATGTTTCAGACAAACATTAATTCCTTCGACAAGTTCAGCGTGATATGACGGTGCACGGACTGATACCAGTGTGTGCGAAGGGATAAAATGGGACTCATTATTCATTTTTCAGATGAAGGAGCTCTTGTGAAAGGGGCCCGGGAGGTTGGCTTTGTCTTCACAACCAGGACGCCAACACATGTGACGGTGAACATTGTGAGGCATCTTTCATTTAATTATTCTGTTTTGCTTGTTTCCTTCCTTTGCACTTGCAAATACAGTGGGATCCCTTTTCATTGCAGCTCTAAAAGCATCAGTATACATAGACTCTCAGTCAATAAAAATCTTGTAAACGGATCTGCTTCTTAAGTGGGACAACTTCCTTCTTACATTGTCGGTTTTGTACTTCAATTCTGTCCTATGTTCACTTCTCACTAAGCGGAACACCCATTAATTTTCCGGAACCCTTAACGAGAGTCTACAGTAAAAAAGAGAGATTGACTTAGATTGGTTTATAGCACATCTCGCGTAGCGAATAGGCCACTCATGTGCCATATAAGGTTTTGAAAACACTTCTGACAGCACCACCTCGGAATTATCTCGCTGACTTGCCTCATTAGCATAAATTTTTCCCATCTATCAAAGAGGCTAGTCTCTTGTTTAGTCACCTATAGAAATGGTTACTATTCGTTAAAAGATCGCTATGCGCAACCCAGCAGTTTCTTGTGCATGAAACAACTTAGGTGCGACTGATGTGTCGGTGATCCTGCTCACTGGAATCAATTGTGAAAAAAATTTTCATATTATTGATGATGAAACGGAACAATGTGAAAAAAAAATGGGGACACTGCAGAAAAAGCACAAAAAATTGAAGACAGCTCAAGTGCTGTTCTGTTTTGTCTTGCAAGTATATGAAATCACTTAACTTTCCACCCTCCTGCGGGATATTTGAGCTATTGTTTCTTTTGTAACTAAGCTATCTTGTTTACCAACAAGTGAAAAAAAAAGTAATCCGTGAGTCTAGATAAAATGCTTTTTTATTATCTAAATACAGATGTTGTTCTGCAAGTTTACTGTCATTACTTCTATTAAAGTACGGTTGCTCTAGTGCGTTCATTTATGCAAATTCATTTATTTAACAGAAAAGTGTCTTGAATGTCTATTGCCGTTTTTGCTATCACTTGAAATGTTAAGAGAATTAGATAGCAATCCTAGAGTACATTTTTAATCTTTGTTTTCAGTTTGGTGCAAATGAGCAGTACGAGATCTTGAACGTCATAGAGTTTACGAGGTAAGATTTTCATCTCTGCACCTTTGCTGTTGCAATAAACCAAAATTCAGATATGTTTAATGAGCTCAGTCTTGTTAAGCAATGTTTAATGAAATCGGCTTGATTTTCCTGATTAACCTGCGTTTTTTCTCCTTTGATTTGTTTGCACACCCGTCATTTCATTCTTTCTGTGCAGTACCCGAAAACGAATGTCTGTGTTGGTGAGGACGCCTCAGGGAAAGATTAAACTATTCTGCAAAGGAGCGGTATGTATTTGTTCATCACTAATTTGCACATTTTTCGTGGTCTAAGAGCATGATCCCGGTAGAGAATGCTTGCGTTATAATAAAATGCTCGGCCCAGCTTCACTGTCTGATAAACTGGTGCCTAAGTTACTTTTAGGTACCTTAAACAAAAAAATACAGATGAGGTGTGTTGGCATGGTATTAGGTAGGCTGTCACCCTTGCCTATTCAAAGCCATGCCAAAGTTGCCAGCCTCGTAGCCCCGCACATGAGGCTATGAGGCTGGCAACTCTCTACAGCCACTTCTAAAAACTTCGTATGGCAGAAGACTGAAATTTGGTGTCAGTTGCACTTTGTAGAACAATCTTCCTGTCTAAATAATTCAAAGTTAACACTTTCCTGTTAACCTGAAACACTACTTTAAAGACCCGTATTAATGTTTTAAATCATATTCAAATATGTCGTCAGCTACCAGCACAAATAAAAAATAGGTGAACAGTTGAAACTGCTATTTTGTATATTTATATATCTGGTAACTTTTTTGTATGGATTCTTACTAGCTTGATGCTAAGGATCCAAATGTCTTCCATATACAGTTAAACTCCTTTATATGAGGCATGCTCCAGGCAGCAATTCTTGTTTTTTTATACGAGATGTTTCTTATAAGCAGGAGGCCTCGTATGCATTTTCCTGTCCCCCATATTTTACTGTAGGCCTACTGGTGTCTCTCATACCCATTTGTCTCTTATATCAGTGTATCTTACAAAGGGGTTCGACTGTATTTATTGATTGTATTTTTTTGGCAAAGAGAACTCGATTTAATTCAAAGCCCTTACAAATTTGCGAATCCCAGTTCGTTGCGGCTGTGATACAAGGCATAATGGAAAAAAAAAAATCATTAAGTCAATTGTAATTTGCTCAGTGAAATTTCGTGCACGACCCCTGTTATTACGAACGCCTGCTGTAAATCAGTTCCTCAGGGTGTTTTTGTCATACAACTGGATTCTTTGTTGGCGGTGTCAGCCTTTTTCGTGGTAGCTCATGCAGTTTGAGACTTCACGTTTACTGTCTTTCAGGACACTGTCATATACGAAAGGCTTGGAGCCGAAAGCCAGAGTTTCAAGGATATCAACCTCAAACACCTCGAAGAATTTGCCTCCCAAGGTCAGTGCATCATTATTTGAAGACAGAATTAGTTTTCGGTAGTTTTCATTTTATGGAGATGTGTGCACGCAGCAACACTGTGTCTGCTGCATTATTGGCCAATATTTAGTACATAGATGAATCTGCTTGCCTTAATCGCCAGAAAGTTCAACTTATGACTTCTCTTGCGTCTCTGCTGTTAACGTTGACGCGACTGGCATTTTCTTGCAGGTTTGCGAACTCTGTGTCTTGCGGAAGCAGACATTTCTCCGGAGTACTATGAGGTAGGAAATTCGCCAGGTCTCTTTATTAAGTTTAACTGACACAAGCCATCTGTGAAAATACTTTTTTTTTATTAATTCTTTCTAGCCTCATATTACCCATACCCGGACCTCTTCATCTACATTGAAATTGCTACTTGTTTTCGTGCTGATATTTCGTGACGAAATTTATTACCTGATTTCTCGCATTGCCTTATTTGTATTTGGTGTAACAGTCGGTGTTGCTAATTAACAATTTTGTTTGGAAGAAATGAAAATCCATCATTTAATATCAGTCTTGACTTCTGGAAAGCAATTTGCTCAGTAGTCTTTGTCTAGTACTATTGCCATCTGTTGACAAGGTAAAGGAAAAATAGTGTGAATAAATAGTGACAGTGACATTAATGAGCCAAGCTGCCTTTTAATAATCTTAAGAAACCTATTTGTAGTCTCTGCTGAAATGCTTGGATCTCTGCTGAAATGCTTGGAACAAAATAAAATGTTCATGTTTACTAGTACACTCAAACCTCACTATAACAAAGTTGCATCCAACAAAAAATTAAGTTTGCTATAGCTTAAAATTCGGTGTAAAGGTTAACTCTAATGCTATACAGAGGCCCCAGACTATATATCCGTTGATCGAACAAGGCTAACCAGACTAAAACATCCCCAAAGGCTACAGAATACTGGTTCAATGTAGACTGTTTCAAGTACGCTTTCTTTCCATTAGCAATAAGGGATTGGAATTCTCTAGGCAACTTAATAACTGGAACCATGAGTTTAACAGAGTTCTTAAGGCTGGTAGAAAAGAAAACTGACACAATGTGACTATAACTTATCACCGAGTGAATGTGTGTATCAACTCATTTGTGTTTCATCTTATCACTAAATCATGAATTTTTGAAAAGATTTGTAATGAAGAGGTTTTTTTTTTTTGTAACCTGTAATATCGAAACCTGTACGGTATGTTACTTTTGTAAAATGTATGCGTTCCTTGTTCATACTTATTCAATGAAGAATGTGTAATGTGTACTACACTCCACCGACTGTGTAACCCCACATTTCTTGAAAATAGCTGTCATGTACTGTGTCTGTGCCCTTCCTGCAAGAATCCCGTGAGGGATTGGCAGTATGTTTAAATAAATAAATATCTATTGTAAAAATATTTTTTATTTAGTTTGTTATAATCTATGTTTCGTTACATCCAAGTTTGTTATATTGAGGTTTGAATGTATATCTTAAAAGCCTGGTGGCTAGAAGTAATTTGATCAGTTATTGTGTGGCATAGTAAATGTGGGAACTTTACTCTCTAAGTATAGTACAGTCAAGTCCCATAATAGTGATCCTCAAATTATTGATTTTCCCGGATTAGTGACTTCGAAAATTCCCCTCCAAATGTTCAATGGTTTAATGTAAAAATGTTTCACCACTACGACCTTTACGACTTTCAGAATACCGAATATTGCAGAATGATGCATCAAATTTTATTCCCCTTGCATTTCCACAACACTTCAAAATACTGAATAGCGATTTTAAAAAGTTACTCGCGGTTGTAAAAATGATTCCCAGCTCTGAAACTGCCATTATCATCATTAGAATACCCACATATTTCTCTACCTGCCCACCCTGTTGAAATGTGGGATAGCCCTATCACCAACGTTATCGCCTGGCACATGTTTTTCACGTCAGGCCTGGTCAGGCATCGCGCTGTCGCTAGAGTGCCGTTGCCTTTGCTTTTGTCAGGCTGTTTTACCTGCACGCTCGTTACACGACTATTTTGTAGCCTGTTTGGTAGGAGGTTGAACGTTCGAGATGAGCTCCGGAAGCAGCACGAAAGGAATGCTACGACAGTAAAAAATGGGACAAGAGTGGCCCGTGGAATGAAGTCGATGATTACCCGTGCATGCTTCTCTAATGCTCGAACACTACGCAGAGTACGACGACGAAGCATGCACGTGAGCCTAGCTGATGACCGATAAGATCTATACTATATGTTGTGATGGGAAAACAGCGACGTGTACAAGGATGACGTTGAATCAGCATGCGCAAACGAACTTGAAGAGTTGGTATTTAACACCGGTGCTTTGCAGTGCATAAGAAGGATGCACACACTTAAGGGGAGATGCTACTCGAAGACACTTTTTTTTTTTTAATATTCACCCTAGAGCAATGAAACATGAGCTGTTTATGGAACTTTTTATGCTGATTTCAAATATATTAGTTTTCTTGCAAGTTGCATACTTTCAGCTCTGCTGCATGACAAAGTGAGAACCTTAATCCTTTTGCAACCTCTCTCTTCATCTCTAAAGTTTTGTAATTTTTTACCATTCATAGTTCATAATGTTTCAAATAAAGTGTAGAATGCAAATAACTAATTAGGAAGCACATACAAAATATGCCATAGGCATGAAAAATAATAGACATAAAAAGTTCATATTGCACCTACCCTAAAGAAGGTTTAGGTACAATTTTTTATTATACAATAAAATATTGAATTTTAAACTAGATAATTGCATTTGTCATACTTTGGAAAACATTTGGGCGAAATTTCATGCAGGTTCGAGCACTAGAAGGCCCGAAAAAGGAGGGGCACATTGAAAAAAAATGGCAAATTTTGTGCTTTGAGAAAAACTAGTTTTAAAGTTAAAATTGAACTTTTATGTATGAAAGATATCATTAAATTTGATGAATTTGAACACCAAAAAGAACAATCTTCCTTGTAATGGCCACTGCCACTAAAATATGCCAGCACCACGAGTTTGTTCCTCTCGGCTTTCTCGAGCCGACTCCTCGCAGACATTTCACTCTCACAGACAGGGCCATGAAATGCTTGCCAAACTTCTGCTCCATCTGGCAGAGCCTTGTACCAACTGCAAGCTAGGAAGAAGTTCGACAGGACTGTGAAATCTAAACTTAAGTCCGGTGTCATGCCATTTTGCAGTCATGTTTGTGCCACATACCGTCATACGTAATGGCAATGTTGTCCCCGCTAAGTTCCCTCACTGCAAGCTCCTTCGCGACCTCGCAAGATTGGCGCTGACGTCATCCATTGCCTCATCACGAACTTTCCGGCTGACGGGTGTGAATGACTTTTGATGCATTGGCTTTTACAAGCCAACAACTGCCGCATATCAGACCAGCTGCTTGTAGCCTATTCCTACAGTGCGTGCTGCACAACGGCTTTCACGTGCGAGCAATGGCTTTTTTCATTCATAACAGAGATAAATACACGAGAAAAGCATTGTTCAGCTGCTCGACAAGACATGGAGCCCGAAAATAGGCTTCACAGCACATACAGGCGCGCAGCGGCCAATGGCAGTCCCTGATCTGTACCACATGATAAGCCAGTCGCGGCGCTCAAAAAACTTGCAGAAGCGTGCTTTCTTTTATTATTTCTTGCACTGCATCAGCCACGGAAACTGTTGTTATTTAAAGAGTGAGGCTCGACTCTTCGGCTCATGCGATCAACAATGGTGAGCGGCTGCGCATTATCGGCGGCAAGGTGCTCGAAGACTGTACACTTTGGGAATTTCAACAGGCACCTTGTGCTCTTCAGATGCAATTTTAAAGCATTTACAGTTAAGTCTCGACCTGTATTTTTTTTTATAATAGTAGAGGTACTAATCTTATCAAAGAGGCGAAAATAAAAAAATTGGTAATTTTGAAGAAAACTCGAGTTTTTCGACCCGCATCTCCCCTTAAGAGCTCGTCTTGGAGCAGTCGAGCTGCGCACATCAGGATAGATTGTGCTCTTCTTTGATAAACTTGCACTGGTTCGGTAATATTTTGTGTTTGTTTTTCTCGCTTATTAGAGCATGACGCGGTCGTGATTGTATGTATACACATCACAGGTAGGTGACTTGCGTGTTTGTGGTAACGATTTTTGCGCAAATTTTTAATACTTTCACTACAACTACTTTTCAAAATAGCGAATGATTTTTAGCAGTTGCTTGAGATTCAATGTATCGAGATTTCACTGTATAACTTGATATTTTCTTAAATGACTGCTTTCTTTCTTTTGGTATATTATCTTTCCATATGTTAGCACTGTTTCGGTGTCCTTGTCGTACAGCGTTCTGGAAAATGCATTCCCCAAAGATAATCTCGATCTCAGTATTCCTTGTCTCGAGACTCGCGTTACATTTTCGTGCTTTTTTTTTTATCTAGGAGTGGAAGAACACGTACCACAAAGCGACCACGTCCCTGCAAATGAGAGAACGCAAGATTGACGACGCTGCGCAGCTCATTGAGACGGTAAAGATGCACGCCTCTCTTAAAACGGTGTCAGATTACCTGCGCAATATAGCCGCGAGAAAATTAGAGCCTGATGAATTGCTGTTTTTCACATCATTTTACATCACTTTGGTTATAGTGTTTTGTTCCAATCGCAGAATTTGTCTCTCCTGGGCTCTACTGCCATTGAAGACCGGTTACAAGACGTAAGTATCAATGGTGTTGAAGTGCTTGAATTATTTGGCAGTAGCTATTGTGGCCTGGATTCACCAACTCGCATAATGTATTCGATGTTTTATACCTATTGTCCTGTAAGAACGATAGATGGGAAATGGATCAAGGCTCCATTTCTTTTTTGTAGGTGCAACCTAATGAAACCAATAGACAATAAAGCTAAGAAAGGGCTAGGAGACATTACTTGTATGTGTTAACCGTAATGCTGCAATTTTTACAGGAACGGAAAGGAATGAAAGTCAATGTAATATTAGTTTGCCACAGATAGGGGACTGAACCTACAATCTTTGAGTAACACGTCCGATGCTCGACCAATGGAGCTACAGCAGTGATCACTGTCCCACCAGTTTTATTGGGTATTATGTTCGGTGTATTTCTGAGAGTGTCAGCCATCACCATTCGCAGCCATGGTGGCAAGTGTAGAACACTCTTTATGTTGTCAGCTGGCGTCACGTTGCATGGGATCTTATTAACAAGCTTGTGAAGCTGACCATTGAACCCCCGTATGCTACTTATGGCATAAAGTGTGGCAGAGCGAGACCCTCATTATGAATGATCGAAAGTGAGAATAAACTCTAAAGATATTCTTATGCATGAATTTGAGGACCCTCATAGGTACAGATTGGTCAGGGGATTTAATTAAGAGCTGTAACCGGTGCTCCTCCTCACAAATCCTCCTTTGATGTGGTTCCGGCCGAGCCTGTGAATCGTTAACTGCTCATCGCAGTCGAGTGTTTCTGCGATTCCAACCAAGATAGTCTGGTTAGTGGATAAATGTCAGAATAAGGACTAGCAATAAGGGATTTCTTTAAAAGGGAATTTTGCCAAAGTGCCTTTCTACACATTTAGCTTTGCTGAGAACCATTATTTACATGCAAAGTGAGCATAAAGTTTTAAACCATGATGGCACTTTCGAAGCTTCTTAATGCAAATTTCTTATCAATTAAGATGTGTGCTATGAATGGCTCGTAAAACTACTGCTGTGTTGAAATACTGTACACTCTCATTAAATCAAACCTGAAAGGACCAGGAAAGTGTGTTTATTTAAAAGGAGTTTCATTCACTGAGAGCTGAACAGGGTTGCAAACTTCAAGTAGAAAACTAATCATATTAGAGGTAGTTGTCCAATAAGCAAGCTTGTTCAAAAAGATCTTCGTTTACTGAGAGTCTGCTTTATGTGTGGTGTGCAATTCTGTGCAAATTTATCTTTGCCACCTCTACAATCAAGTCACATCAGTTCTTTGCAGATTGTGGAATTATTTAATATTACTGTGTTTACATGATTGTAAGTCCACTTAAATATAGGTCGACCCTCCTAAAATCCCAGCAAAAAAAAAAAACATGAGCAGATTTCATTAAAAAAAACTTATACTATACGATGTCCCCAAAGAAAACAATGTCAAATTCCTGTGTGCCCAGGTGGCTTGCAAAAAAGCTAGTTGTGCAGAAAAAGTTGAGATCAATTTTAGGTAAACTTTATAACCAAAACTAGCTTTCGATTGTATATTGACCCCTGAACTTTGGATTTCAAATTGAGAGAAAATTAGTCGACTTACAATTATGTAAATAGGTTAGTTTAAAGCAAGGCACTGCAATAAATTTTTTCGTTTTTTTCTTTTTAAATAGGGTGTTCCAGAAACAGTGGCTGATTTGTTGAAGGCTGACATCAAAATTTGGGTGCTGACAGGTGACAAGCAGGAAACTGCCATTAACATAGGTATATTGCGCTATTTTCTCCAGTGACTTGAGAATTGTTGCAGTTGATTTTAAACAACTTCAGTTAACCATGCATAAAAAGAAAGTATATTTCTCATAAGTTTTGGATACAGAAATCACATACTATCCCATTACTGATGTCAGTTTCTTGGAACAGCTCATATCTGTTTGTACTTTCTGAATCGAGTAACTGTGATTTCAAATTTGTCGTGCATTCGTGAATGGCATACAAGTAATCTGCACCAATGCAGATCGTATACCATTTCATGTTTCCCGCATAAATATGTCTTGTTGAATACGTCTCTGGGAAACTGCATCGCCTCTGCGTCCTTTGTTTTCAGGATACTCGACAAGGCTGATCTCTCAGTCAATGCCACTTCTAGTCATTAACGAAGACAGTTTGGATGTAAGTCCATGCTCTTTTCATTATTTTTTTGTCTTGTCATGATATGATTGCTTTTAAATGGTGCTGTTATCTTTTGTCTTCAGGGCACACGAGAAGCCATTCGCAAGCATGCTCATGACTTCGGTGATCTCCTGCGGAAAGAAAATGAGATTGCTCTTATAGTTGACGGAAAGGTAAGAGGTCTGAGGTGCAATTTTCTTTGGATAAGTGGGGTGAATAGGGCACTCATATTAAAAGCTGACAGTGTTGCAAGTAACGACCAAGAATAAGTCGTTAAGTAATGTCGGTGGAGCTTACATCTTTGTGTTGACATATCCAACTGCGCTAGTTACTACTGGTACTAATACTAGCTGAAATCTGTGATTGCAATGCCATTAAGCCTTTCTTTTTAAAACATTATTGTATGCACTTCAAATCTTATGCCTGAGAACACGTGTCAGTCGTTCCTTTCAATCGCAGATGTACTTGCATGTGCCTGTATGCATCTACTATGATTACAATATAAGTGAGACCGCAGTCTAGAACAAAGCATTCACAGACCCCCACAAGACTTTTACGAAGTTCTGGTGCACTTTCATAATTTTTGCCCCTGAGTGTTTGCGCACCATAAAAGCTGCAAAGCCAAGTACTGTCTGTGCAGACGCTGAAATACGCACTGTCTTCCGATGTTCGGCGAGACTTTGTTGACATCGCACTTTCCTGCAAAGTCTGCATCTGCTGCCGGTAAGTGGTTCACTCGAATATAACAGTACACTGTTGTCTCCAAAGGCATTTCATGTTCATCATGCATTAAAGGGACAGTAATGGCGAACTTCAAGTCATCACAGACTATTAAAATATAATTTTTAAAATCTCACAGCACTTGTTTCATGCCGCGAAATTATTCAAGAGTAAGTCACGTTTCAGGGGTCTTCATACTAAATGAGGGTATCGATATGTTTTGAATGCTGACACCAAGTACCTTACAGAAATGACCCATACATGGATATGGGAAAGGCTGCCCTTCAAATGACTCATTTGGCATTGAAGCTACACCCTCCTCCTGTCTTATCACTGTCCTGGGTTCTATGGAACTAAATTTTGTTACTGCAGCCATGTTCGAGAACCCTGTTTTAGACATTTCTGAACATTAATCTGTCACTCTTGTCTAGATTAGTGTTTGTTTCTATTGTTCATTCGAACATTAGGCGAGTACTGAGATTGCTTTGTTGTTCTCCCTAGGGTGTCCCCAATGCAGAAAGCTGAAGTAGTGGACGTGGTTAAAAGTACCACTCAGTGCGTGACATTGGCTATTGGCGATGGTGCCAATGATGTCGCCATGATCCAGGCGAGTTCTTAATTTAAAAGCACCTTTGGATCAGTGGTAGTTGTACACTGCAGGTGCATTGTGTGGGATCTTTGTGATCACTAGGCAACAAACCAAACTTCTCTCTTCTGTACTCTTGGCAGTAACTCGGAAAGTACGCATGCTGAGCTGTAATATATTTGTCAGTTGTTTGCGCTTGAAAGCGAATGTGTAGTCATTCATTCATTCAGTGACGAAAGTGCTGCTCCAATCGCTCCTAACTGCTCCAAAAGAAAGTTGCTGCTCCGTACTGCTCTAAACAGTAATTTTTGTTAGTAATTGCTCCAAACCTGCTCCGAAATGCCTCTGAAAGAATGATAAGATGAACTTTTACTCTTTGACCGACTCATAAGTCCTAAGGAAACTGAAAAGAATCTGTGTACTATCACAGTGTGCTACTAGTGTGTAGCAATATCGGCTCTGATCTCATTTGTGCGACAAGAACGGACATATTAAGAATAGAGCTCATTAGGCTGTTTTTGTTTTAAATTTTTTTCTTAGTTAGACATGCAGGTTAATGTGGTGAAATGTAAAAATGAGCAGGATTGCTTTTATCTTATACCGATTATCTACTGCTTATTTGGCAACAGTTATATGGGACTGTAATTATTTCTAAAATGAGGTGCTCAGCTTTTCCAGTTTGATTTGATTTCTGTTGCAAATGCTAGTATTTTAAACTGTTTCTCATTTCGCAGCTCAATTTTGACAACCTGCAATTGTTTGCTACATGAAATTTAAATTGATTGTCTGTTAAATATGTCTCGTAGAAAATATTATTATTTAGAATATGCTTTGACAATGCTCTGAACTCCAATTAAGCTATGGCAAATTTAATATCTGCTCCTAAAACGCCATTAGCTGCTCTAAACTAGCATTCTTTTCTGCTTTGAAAACGCTGATGGCTGCTCCAAAGCAGTAGTTTTCCTGCTCCGAAGTATGCTTCAAAAATTGAAGAGGCACTTCCATCACTGTTCATTCATTCAAGCAGAGAGAGGGCAGCACTGTATGTGAATATGCACGGTCAAATTATCATTGAAATGAAGTTTAATTTTCTTTGGAATTTACCTTAATATTTCCTTTGCAAGTGCCTTTTCCTTGTCGGATCGGCTGTTTTTAAACTCTGCATTCGTTGTTGTTATGAAAATGAGGCTTCTGAGTTACGAACAGTACTTTTGTTAAATTAAGCACTTTTCTAGCCGAGGTTCTTGTTGGATAAGTGGCTTATCCGAGGTGATCAATTCAGGCTGTAGTTTTCTGCTGCTATTGAGCTATGGTGTCTGTTGTACCTACTGTGAGTATCGATGCTTTCAGCTGAATGACAACTTACTTTTCATTTTGCAGTCTGCACACGTAGGTATTGGCATCAGTGGCATGGAAGGCTTGCAAGCTGCCTTGTGCTTCTGACTATTCGATCGCACAGGTGAGGGATACTGTTTTTCCAAAGTTTGTTCTTTTTTTTTGTAAACATAACAAAACTGCACAAAGCTACTCCAGTGCTGAACATTTATAAACCCAGCCTGTCAGAGCTGCTTATCCAATCTGCATATTACTATCTGCCACACTTCTTGTTTTTTCTTCCGATTTTAAGTCAATGTGTTCCATGGCATTGAGACTTCTGAAGGATGTAAAAAGGTACAAATTTACAGTCGGTTACAATAATTTTGAGAGGTATAACATGCAACCTACCATTGGCTTTTGAAGTACAAGAATTTTCAGAAAGCTTGTTTGCAACAAACATGTGCGCAAACACATCACCCAAGCGTGTTTATTGTTTCTTATAAAGAAGGAAAGCTATGGTGATTTTGAAGCTTTTATCGCATAGTCTGCTAGAATAGAGGTTAGGCTTCTTAATATACACTTATGTATTTTCTATGCTTTGATAGTGGCAAATGTTTAATAAGAAATAATATTCTCTCTTGCATTCAACTCCCCACGAAGTTTCGATTTCTGCGCCGTCTGCTGTTCGTTCACGGAGCCTGGAACCACAACCGAATGTGTCGTCTGATTCTATACTCATTTCACAAGAACATCTGTCTTTACGTCATTGAGGTGAGAAGTCATTTGCTTCTGTGCTCTGCTGAAACCTCGCTCAATTTCCAACTGCTGCACATCTAACTGATTTGTGTTTGCTCTTATCGGCAGTTGTGGTTTGCGGCAGTGAGCGGATGGTCTGGACAGACATTGTTCGAGAGGTGGTCAATCGGCATGTACAACGTGGTGAGTAGAGCTGGTAGTGTAGTCCTGTGTTAAAGGAAGAGCAGGAAAAGGTGGGATTGGGTGGGATAGGTTCAGAAAACAAAATTTCTGTTCGTTTTCCTGGGCACCTCTTGTCCTTAAGCTACGGTGTTTGTCGAGTATTCAAGAACACAAATCACTTAAAGAAAGTCACACTTTCAGTCAAGAACTTAAACTATTCGACCCTAATGCTTTACAATGTTTCTTTACCACTGCATTCTGCACTTGTCATGCATCATGTTATTTATTGGTGACTTTGGATGATCTACCCTTCCATTAATTCTTTGTAACCTGTCCCAGAATAGCATGAGTTTTCTCATTGGATTTTTTTTTTTTATATGGAAAGCTGTTTTGAGATCATTACACAGGTAGCGTGCAGTGCCGTAGTTGTCCACTGCCACCGCCTGTGTTTTAACCATTATTGCACGAAATACGAAAAAAAAGAGCTCAGTAAATAAGAACACCAAGGACACAGTGGGATTCGAGCCCGGGCCCCGTGCATGCCAGCCCAGTATTCTACCACTGAGCCACCCCAGTGCTTGAGACTCCTTTGCAAACTGGCCTTAGGTAGGCTTGATGTCGAGAAAGGAATCGTGCTAATACGAGTAATAAAGCATTTTAGAAATGCAAAGGAACAGCCAGGTACCGCACAATGCGAATTGCACTGAGTGGGTCGTTGAATGCTCCAGTCCATTACAAATGCTTGGTCTTGTTCACCTGTTAACTGGGGCGGATACTCACTGCGGCAGACTGTGTGGATTACAAAATCTTCTGGCATAATTCTTCATCATGATCAGCCCGAGCAGAAAATAATTGCACAGGTATTTCTTGCAAGTGTGCAGCAGGTATCACCCTTCTCCGAAGAATGACGAAGGATGGCATAGTGAATGCCTGGTTTCTGCACAATGATTAATGGCATAGTGGGTACCCTGTAATTGTGCTTGCAGGAGCTACCCAAAGAGTGTTAAAAAGGGTCTGAAAGGCCACTGTTCGAGCTTTCCCTGTGACAGTGCTGCACATTCGGTGCAGGCATGGCGTATTTTTTTTATATATGCTACTGTCTTTCAATCTGCAGATTGTGCAGGTTAGCTGGTTCATGACAAATATGTTCATTTTTTTTTTTCGTTCACTTTGAATTTGCACTGAACTTCTAAAATTTGCAATTCGCACTAGCCTGCTCTGTTAAAATTTCAAAATTGCTACACTCGCTATAAGAATATGCTTGGCAAGCAAGAAAAGAAGCCAAAAGAAATATATGGGTGACTGACACTGCCTTGAAATTCCAGCACCAGACGCGTGACCTCACATATTTCGATACTGTCCACGAGGCCTAGGTTGTTTTATATCGTTAAAAATGAAGTACATTGTCCTCTGAGGGAGCCATAGACTTTACATACCAAGTTTCAAAAAAAAATTTTGTTGATGTAATGGCACCAAAATACAAAAAATAAATTTTGAAATTATAACATCACGTACAGAGGTTTCACTGCAAAAGTAAAATGTAAGTTAGACCTTAAATTTTTTATCTAACAATGAACCTATGATGGTGACATTAACGTTGTCAGAGTCACGGAGTACAATTTACCAATCTGAACAAAATCATTGTTTCATTTTAGTGTTTTTTTTAAATATCCGTAAGCTACTACATGCAATCTAGACAATGATTTAATTTACTTTGCAGATGTTCACCGCCGCTCCTCCTCTTGCCATCGGTCTCTTCGATCGCACCTGCAGCGCAGAAGTGATGATGAAGTATCCTGCCCTATACAAGTCATCTCAGAATGCTGAAGGCTTCAATGCGAAGGTAAGGTAGCATCATTGATAGCTGTACTGTTGAATTTCGGTAGCTGTCGATAAACACTCCTGTCAAGCTGTGGAAAACAAGCTTGATGTCATTTCTGTTTCAAGGTGATCGCTATGTCAAAAAAGATGTCTGACAGCAGCGCTCAGGCACAGTCGTGATTCAGTCTGACAGTGGAGAAAAAAGTAAAAATGCATAAATTATAAACTTTTCTCTCATTCCTGCTTTAGTTCAAACATTCTATAATTGCCCTCGTGCATTTTCTTGTTGTCACCTGTTGGTTGAAACTATCACAGTCACATATCAAGTTTTATTCATTGAAAGCCTAACACCCCTCAAGGCGCAGCCCCAATGCCTTGCAGCTTTGGACATGAATTTGTAAAAGGCAAAATATTCCATTGAATCGAGGCTTGCACTAGAACATATATTACAGGGCTGCGTAAAAAACATGGCTGATCAACATATGCAGGAACTCGTATAACACGAAAGTGAAACGTGTCTTTACAGAGGTTGTTGAGCGTTTATTGTGCATTGTTCGAGCAACAGCAACAGATTGCTAAGTCATGTTAAGAACAGCAAGCAACTCGAAATTCGCAGCCCACACCTCAAGTAGAAAGAATGCACGAAATGAATATACACAGGCCGAGTGCAGGACTGTTGTCACAGCTCGACACATTAAGGACGCTGTATAAATAAAAGGATGCAAGAAACTAGTGCACTAAGTACACAGGGGAAAAGCGTGAACAACTGTCACAATTCTTCTTGCGTCATTTGTCAGTAGGTGCTCCTTTCATAAACGCGGCCGCGGCATGTGTGAAGTGACCTTCGTCTTCTCCTGAATTATGAGTGTGATTATCGTGGGCATAGGAGAGACCATGCTTTGGGGAGGTGACAACCTTCAGAGCATGCCCAAAGCGAGCCCGTTGCGCCATCGTGCCACTGATAACAAAAACACGCTAAAGTTTCGAAGCTCTGAGGACTGTCAAACGGTGTATGGTGCACATAAATGGCTTGCCGTATAGAGGACAACATGCGCCCCGCGGCGTAATGATTAGTGCCGTGCGCTCAAGATCGAGAGGTTGTTGGTTCAATTTCGCGCGACGAATGCCTGCCTTCTGTTTTTTTCTTTGCAATCTCTTAGTAAATAATCTTCAACATCACTTTTATGATGGAAGTACATCAGCGGAGCTGTGGTGGACATAAAAGACTTTTGTTGTGATAAAAAAAAAAAAAAAAACACGGATTAAGGGATGAATTACACAGAACGGGAGCAATGATGTGTGCCTCTGCACTATTGCAGATTAAGTTTAAAGGCATACTAAAGGCAAATATTAAGCCGACGTTGATTGCTGAAATAGCAGTCCACAAACCTTGTAGTGCTACTTCTGTGCCAGAAAGTGCTTATTTTGAAATCACTTTTTAGCAGTCTGAATCGTGTTAGGGCACTTCTAATCACCTGCCTGCAAAGCGGTCTTTTTGATGTCGCTGTTGCCGTGCCCTAAGTAGCGGGAGCCACAGCAGCAACAACGGCATGTTGAATAATTTTCTACTTGCTTGATTTAATTGGGCCTCACTAGATGGCATCACCTATCCTGCCTAACCTAGCCTAACCAGGCGAAAACAGAACTTCTGAATCACTCGCACCATTCCCTTTTGTCCTTCCAGGCGGTTACTTTTTCCATAAATGAAATAGAAACAGTCGAGCAGTATTTTGTTACGTCTCTTGATACGCAGAAGGTTCTTTTTAATTGCAGCTAGTTTGATTACTAGTGATTAATTGTTGTGAGACCATTTGACGTCATTGGGATCAGTTCAAAGTGTGCCACTCGTGGCACACGTCGTGCGATACATTTATTTTAATTTCTCAGTAAGTAGGGCAATATTGTAGTTTTAGATATTGTTATATACTATTGAGCTTTTATTCTCACATATGTTATTTGCCTTTAGTGTTCCTTCAACAGAATTATCAGTGAAAGTAAATCGTAATGTCAAATGAACGCTTTCATACTGGGTCTTTATGGAGGCTGAACATTTTTTTTTTAGGTAGTCTTAGTATTGTACGCAGCACCTGCAGGTATAATCATGATTCTAATTCTTCTAAATTCCTGCCTAAACTTCCTGTGCGTCTTATGGAGAAGCAGGAATTGCATCATGAGACAATTGCAGTTTTTGTCAGTTTTATGATGCCCAGTTTCTTTTGACCAGCACTACCCTATCTGCTGGTGCATCATAGCCACTGTGGCTTTCATGTCATAAAACCTGATGTTACTGACTGACATGTCACTTGGCTGCCAACTTGCAGGTTTTCTGGGTATGGATCATTGATGCAATCTACCACTCAATAGTTCTCTTCTGGCTGACCATGCTGGGGATAAAGCAGGGCAAGTCAGGCTTTTATTCATTTTTAATTGAAATTTTGTAGCTGGCACCATAGCTAGTATATTTGATATCGTGCTTTTTAAAATACTGGTTCCCAATATTTTGACCAAAAACCGGCACTCTGTTGTGACCCCCCCCCCTCCCCCGTGTAACTTTTCACTTCAATGCCTTATGCTTTTCGATTTTAGCTCAATACAGTTGAACCCTCTGTAAGAGAAACTGATGTAAGAGACCAATGGGTATAAGAGACACCAGCGGGCTTACATTGAAATAGGGGTTTATAATAAGCATGTATGTGGTGCCCTGCTTATAAGAGTCACCTCATATAAAAGACAAAAATTCTTCCCTGGTGCATGTCTTTTATGAAGGGTTCAACTGCTATTAATAATAATAATAATTCTATTAAGTGATGCTTAAGTTTTATTAGCTAGCAGAACCAGGCTGATACATGCTGGTTTCTGAATGTAGCTGTGTGAACAGCACAACTTTTATAAACAGTCTACAGTTCATTTTATACAATGCCAGTAATGCCGTGAAGGTTTGAAAGGCTTCCCACGCTACTCGCATTCTTCACAAAAAGATAGTGTGTTACATATGAATGGAAGTTGTTGGTATGCACTACGTAGTTTAATGTGACATTTCCCACTTTATATCACAAGATATTGCAGTTGAAGTCATCAAGTATCCCAGCCTCTAGAGCACCGAACGGAGTGATCAGTTACCTTGACCTCACGGGTAGCGTAGGGACCACAGCAAACTGCTTGTGTTTGCAGTCAAACATAGGATGCTGTATAGCATCCGTGGCAAAGGTGTGCAAACCACGTGTGATTCGATGCAACCCTAAAAGCAACAAGTTGCAGGCGTAGCATATGGTAAACTCATTTTGCAGAAGACATCATTGGTATAAAATGATGGCACATTAAAATGGGGAGTAAAAAAGCTGCACACGCACTCCATACTTGCATAATTTTTTCACATCATTGCATTCTGACTTGGGATGTAAAAACAGCGCAAAAAATATAGACAAGGACAGAGGAAGAGACGACACCGCGATCACCGCAGTCTCGTCTCTTTCTCTGTCCTTGTCTATATTTTTTGCGCTGTTTTTACATCCCAAGCATGAACCACCAACTAGCCCAACTTTCGCTATTATTGCGTTCTGAGCATAAAACTTGGCATTCGCAAAGTGCCTACTAGTGGAGCACCTCATACTTGCACTGGGGTCTTACGATGTGCCGAAGTTTTCGATTCTTTCAGCAATTTTGTTTTCTAGCTGATAACATTAAGCAGCCTGGGAGGTCACAGAACATCATCTGAGTCATATGACATTGGTCTCAAAGGAGTAAACTATTATATGTTAATACATACAATAAACACTCTACTTAAGTTTAGCAGTTAGATCTGGTGTAAATACACTTTGAGACAGCGATATGCTCATCATTCAAATAATAAATGACTATGAAGCTTTGACTCTCGCTGATGTTGATTATGCAGACGTTGCCTGGGCGAACGGAAGAGATGGCGGATACCTCATGTTTGGAAACATGGTGTACACTGTGAGTAATCTAGCTTTGTCGTACTTTTTTTTTCTGTAGCTATCAAAATTTTTATTCGATCAAAAACTGTGAATGCTAGTTGTGCTCATCCTCTTTTTTTTTAACATTTCGTGTGCTTGCTACCTTTCCAGTATGTCGTGGTGACCGTGTGCCTCAAGGCTGGCCTGGAGATGAACTCATGGACTTGGGTAAGGCTGGCGTGGCTGCTTGATTCGCACTTAAATGTCATTAAGAAGAATCATTAAGTCAAGCTAATCTTGTATATTAGTTATTAAAAGATACAAAGCCTAGCATTTACTGCTTATGGCCTCTTAATGAGCAATAAAATTAACTAAACATGGCCAACTGATGCTGACACTACAAAATGAAAAACTAGATTGCTATAATGTGAGTGTGTATTTTTAATTAGTGGCAAGCAGTTACAAACCACAAGTAATGAAGTACAGTAAGTTACGTTTGAACATGCGAGAAACTGCAAGTTGACTAATTTTCTTTCATTTTCTCACGGAAAAACTCCTGCATTTCAGTGCACTATGAGCATACAAAAAAAAAGAAAATGAAGGAAAGTTTACCTTTTGTATAACGTTACAACAACTCTTTTCTTCATCATAAAATTCTGATGGTGAGAGGTTGGAAAAGAATCTGCCTACAGTGTACTTAAGCAGTGTAATGCATTGTATTAATGAACGAGCAAGGGTACCGTCTCTGTCACTACCTAATATACTTCTTTGTTCAACGCCTTCCTCTACTTCATCTTCCATTCCTTGTGCTGCCCCATGCCTTTCTTCTCTACAGTAGCGTCTTTCTCTCTTGTCTACACAATGGTGAATCCAGATTGCTGGTATGTGTGCTGTAGTAACTGTGTTTTTGTCTCCCTGTCTCCCCTTTTTTTGCAAGCCCGTGCACATGGCCATTTGGGGAAGCATCGCAATGTGGATACTGTTCCTACTCATCTACTGCAACATGTGGCCGATGCTACCCATCGGTCCGGACATGGCTGGCATGGTGCGCATAGATAGCATCACAACTTTGAGCATCATTCTTTCTTGTTAAAGCAGCTGCAGTAGTAACATATCCTAACGTTTTTGGATGTAAAATTACAAATATGATTAGTCTTCTCTAATGTGGATAAAATTATGTTACTATGATGTATTGCTACTAAATGTTAGTGTCTATCTCCTAATGAATATTGAGGAGCTAGAAAGATTGTGGTGGAAGGTAGGAGAGTATAAAAATAAAATAAAAATATATTATACTGCCTTAAGGGGGCAGGCAGGTGTTAGACATTCTTATATTTATTTCCTCAGTGATCTTGATCAAACTGCATGGGATTATGCAGTTTTTTCTGCTTATTTCAAATACTTAACTGGCTTTCCTGTCCCTCATCTTGTTCCTGAGATAACTTAAGTTGACTATAGATTAAGTTGACTATAGATGACTATAGATTGAAAGCATGCAAGAGTTTTTTTTAAGCCTTTCTTGGTTATTATACAGCAAAATGAACTACCCATTTTCAAAAGCAGTTGGAATTGTGTTACAATTTTGATGAGTAATTAATTAAAAAAGCTAGTGCTCTAAATTCTGCTCCTATACTTGCATTTTACACACATACAGGTTTTCATTGCAAAAATAATTATTGTTGTACCTGCCCTAGCTGCAGAGATATTGAAGCCTCAAAATTGAACAGTCATAAATTTACTTCTCTGAGAAAAATGGAAAAAAACTGAAAACACACAACTTTTTCAAAAAGCAGCAATCATGTTGTGCATTTTTTTGCAATCTTTATAAAGACGCTCGCGAAATTGCAGCAGAGCTTCTAACGCAGGTGTCCGGCAAATTATAAAGAAAGCCTCGAAGTCGGTTCCCCATTTTTTTACAGTTCTGCATCTTAACAGCACTAATAATCTGGACAGTTAGAATGACATTACAAAAAATTACCACTTCCTAGGTGTGTGAAAATTTGCAGAGAGATAGAGAAATACTTGCAGAAACCAAGTATGTCAATTTAAAAAAAAATGAATTTTTTGTAGCTTTTTGGTCCCAAAGACCAGTCTGCCCCCTTGAAACCAAATCAAAATTTTCATAAACCCAGCAGAGAAATTTAAAGAAAATTTCCTGCAAGTCTCATTAGATCAGTCGATAAAGAAAAGGTCTAGAAATTGAGCCACTAGGTTGACTCTAGGTTGTGCCTAGGAATGTTTTTATATAAGCCCCTTACGTCCACTTCTTTTGTTTTGTAATACTTGCAAGGCTGCTTTCACTTGCTCAGGATGAATGTGAATAGTCGATTTAATTTAACGCAATAGCATCAAACAAGCATGCACTATCTCTTACTTTTAAGAAATAGCACTCTGTTCTTTATGTATATTGAACTAGCTTATTTGAAGGACTGTGCGCTGCTTCATAAGTAAACAAGAGCCGCTAGGGATTCAATAGTAATCAAATGTGGTTTGAGGTGCACTTAATTTGAGCATCTTTTTTTTTTTTACTTCCTCTGAAGCACATTTGATTACTATTTCCATGTTCGTGTCTGTATATGTCTGAATACAGAAACACAGTCGAAGTGGGCTATCTCTCCCCCTCTCACACCTGCAGTAAGACATTAGTAACGACACTTTTTAGTCTTTCTCGTTCCTTTAGACCTAGATGAACACATGTGTCTCAGTAGCTCACTTAAATGATAGCCGATAGAGTGAGAAATTACTTTCAGCTCAGACCACAGCGTTTCCCTTTCTTGCAGCACGTCATGATCTTCTCATCCGGGATATTCTGGATGGGCCTCGTGATAATTCCCTTCATGGCACTGCTGGCAGATGTCATTGTCATTGTGTAAGTGCTGGAGGCCTTCATTCATTTTCTTAGAGGAATGCCTCCCCTTGCATGCAAATTATCGCACAAACAGCAGGAAATGTTAGAAGTATGGTAGGAATACACGGCACGGAGTACTAGAAGGCAAAACACAGACAGAAGAAAAATGAAAATAATATTTGTGTCACCCTTCCCATTGTCTTGCTTTTTGCATGAAAGGCATGTTCAGAAGTTTCTAAGACGGCGGTAGGGCTGTTTTCTTTCTTGTGCAGTTTCTTGTGCACCGAGAATGCTTGCATAAGCATTCGCACAGGGAAGTCAGGCTGAAATGTGCCCTTCATGGCTGATGCATGTAGATGATAACCAGTCACACTGAATGATTTCATGTATCCTCCAGGACAGGTGACTAGCTAGGTACGTGACAAAGCTCGACCTACTTGACAGGTTGTGCGTGAACATGGCAACGTTCATATGGTATTTCACAATGAGCAGCAAAAAGCCACACATGTGCCCCATTCATGTGTGAGACTTTATCACTCTTGCTCGAGCTGCTGCCACTGATGCCTCCGCATGTTAGGAACAAAAATTAGTCATATTCTGTCCGGTTTTAACCGTCTCATCCCTGAATTTGGCTTTGCTAGTAATGTTGCATTGATGCAGTCAAGGGCACCATTATCCAGGACCAATCATGATGCAGTGGCCAAGTTGTTTTCTTGCTTTGAAGCCAATGCAGCCACTTTTCAGTGGTGGCAATATGTGTGTCGTGTTGTGGTTGTGCACGGAACAAGTCCAGGTTGTCGAAATTTAATTGGCAGCCATCTATTCTGACACCACTGATGCCTGTATATTTCATTGAGATGCACTGTTTAATTGTTACAATGACCCAATGATGGGGTCCGATAAAATCGACTATTCCCTTGTTAAATTATCGGTACTACATTGAAGTCATTATGTCATTATTACTACCCTTCTTTTCCATGCACTTTATGATCTTGGTGTATACATATGAATGAAAAGCTTGAAGCATACCTTGCCAACCTGGCTTAGGTCTTCTAGCACTTGTTTACTTTCAGGATTAGGCGATCATGTTTCAAGTCTTTAACCGAAGCTGTGAGAGAAAGTGAGATTACCCATGCTGATCCCGGTCCCGTGATCCTCCAGGGAACCAAGCAGAAGTACGTGTTTTCTTATTTAGTCTCTTGACATACAGTGCAGTACAAATTGTGCAAAATTTAATGCAGTGGGGTAAGAGTGGATGGAAGGACCTCTTACCTTGCTGTGTAGCCTAATGATACAGTATCGAGAAAGCGGGAAACTTGTATTGGAAAAGCTACTGACTAACATGTTATAAAATTTAAAGATTTCAAAATCTTTTAATTTAGTTTTTGGTAAATGTCCCGAAGCATTTCAGAACCTCCAAAATTTGGAACAAAAGCACTTTTTCTCTTTTAATTTATTTGTATACAGAGATGCAATGAAAAAAGAATTGGCCATCTATGCGACCTCAACAGGCTGGTTTACTGCTTTAAAAGGCTGTTCGGCATTCATAGTACCTGTTGTTGCATGCGTAACAATTAATATCTACTGCTTCCTGCTCACTAACGGTCTCGCTCGTGTGTCACTACCCTTGGAATGACGAAGCGCTTGCACCTAATTAATGTCGTCTCGACATTGCAGCCTGATTCCCTCCTCACAAGAAGGCAACCTTGGCTGAAGCATGCGCAAGTGTGCTGCACATCTCTTGCTGAACTCTTTTTTTTTCTTCTTCTTTTCTTTTGCACGAACTCTCGCTGCGAACTTCTGCACCATTCATGGACACTGCCGGACGCGAAATGCACTTAAGCGTCGAGTCATTACATGTTTTGTGGCATATGTGTTTGTACATATACGTTATTGGAAAGATGATGTAATCCTGTGGTTGCATTGCTTGGAATGTTTCGCGTGACCAATTTACGCCCGCCTCTTTTTTTGTAATACTTGCAAGACAGCTTTGACTTGCTCAGGATGAATGTGAATTGTCGATTTAGTTTATAGCATGAAACAAGCATGCGCTTTCTGTAATTTATAATAAATAGCACTCTTGTTCTCTATGTATATTGAACTAGCTTCTTTGTGTGCAACCTGAATGTGTTCCACATGTTCTAATTTGTGGTGTTACGGCTGGGTTCCATATTTTTCACGCATAAGCTTTGCATGGTGTGAATTTGCAACAGCATGGCACTTCCTAATGCTTTTTATCTTTTCCTTGAGTTCTGTATTATTTGCGCATTTCCCACACAGTTTTCGCATTTTTTGTTTTATCTGTGAAATTTGCATTAAGCACTATCAATGCATCACTTTTTATATTTGTTCGTGGGTCTCACTACAGATGGAATCATAAGCACTGTCCATGCATCATGTTTTATGAACCCGTTTTCTTGTGCACAGCCTTACTCGTGAACCCTTGGCCTTTTGCCTCTTCTGTACTCTTGCACTTGTTCATGCTGTTTTTTTCGTTAGCAAAAGCTACATTGTTTTCCACATAGTAAGGTGACTTTTTTTGTTATTAATAATGTAGGTAAATTTTGCCATTCGATAGTTGATTGTGATAATAAGTACAGTGGCCAATCAATTTTTCACACTCTGAGGGAATGACAGAAATGCTTCCCAAAATCTCTCTGTTAAAAAAGAACCGATTTAGCTCAAAGAATATTGCAATTAATTTTGCCGGCTGCCAGGAGGCTCGCTGACAAGCTTCTGAGTCTGCCTTTTGCAAAGTGTGATTTCATGCACTAGAAGATGGCTAGATGCTTTGACAGTGCCAAGTTCAACGCACGTCGCAGTACAACAACATTGTCGATCACAAGGTGTCTGTTTTGTTGTATGTTGTGCGCTGGCACATGTGCATGAAAGAAAGAAGTGTAAACATAATAGCTCATTTCTCCTTGTCTGACGAAATATTAATGTGAATTAATATTGTGGCACATATACATGTCGTTTATGCCATAGGCGTGTGCAGGTTTCCGCGTTTCCGCATGAGAGGGGAGTAAAGTCTCACACAGCCCCCCCCCCCCCTCTCCCCTACCTCAAAACACTCTTCATAGTAGATGCAAAAAAGAAAATGAAGCGATGTGCTGCTCAGAACAGCCTCCCTTCGGTCCAAGAAATATCAAGGGTAAATGCGGGAACAGCTCTGAGAATGCAACCTCGCCATTATCCTCAAAAACTTGCATGGCCATAGTCTTGCATCTGAAGCAATAATGGAATCGGGTCTACCGAGTATGGGGCAGACTTGGCACCCCCTAAAATAATAAGGGGGGAAGGGGGGGGGGGGGAGCTGCCTCTTTCATGTGCACGCCTATGATGTATGCCATGGTCTATTGACAGAAACTTTGTTTAATGCAGCTTTAAAGAAATTTTAAGTCCGAACAATCTGCTGTACTTTTAGACAATCTGCTCTTAGAGTGTTTGCCACTGACTCTTTAGTATTCGTAGTCATGACGTCAGGTACTTGATTTGGATAGTTTCCTTATCAGGGAAAACAAATGCATCACAAGGGTCAGAAATGACTACAGCTTACAATTGCATTGTGGCAGTAATTTTTTTTTCTTAGACATGCTATTGCTTAGTTGTGCAAGTGCTCATAACACACCCGCATGCTGTTTTTTTTTTCTCTTGTCTTTAGTGTTACTAACCACACGACAACAGTGATAACATATGTCCTGTCTTGTGTCTTATTAAACAGCATTTGCTAGGTAGCATGATACCCACCGCATGGTTTCAGCAAGACGATCATGTGCTCACATCAATGTGCTTTCGTGTAGCCTCGTATACTAGTGTGAAAGCCAGCTTAAGATCATATGAAAGCTTATTCTAAATGCACTTGTATAGTCATATGTGTATTTGAGTTTAAAGCACTCTGCAAAGACGGCAGCACTCACTGTGCCATCTTTTAATGTACACTAAGGGTGCATGAAATGTTCCTTGAGCATTATTGCTAAAGAAATCGCAACGTGGCAGTACGAATGCTGCCGATGCTTCTGATGCCATTGTCATGCATGACACTCAGGTATTCCATAAACTGTAATGCTTTTACTACAGAGTCGGAAATCAAAGCTGTTTAATATCAAGAAACCTCATCTTGTCAGCTAGATATGAACAGGAACATGTCTAAGTGGTCTGCAATGCGGTGTGTTGAACCAAAGCAAAATTACCAGCATTATAAAAGATGTTTATTCCCACACTCATAGAAAACCACCAGTACGATGTCCCTTTGGAAACAGCTTTTGGAAGATGTATTCTTAATTTGCCAATTTTGGGAGATAGACTTTCTGTAGGTTGACTGGCTATGAGCCTTTGGCAGGATATCTGTATCTTCACTGGGCTGCATTATGCAGGGCATCTTAACACATAAAATTGGAATTGGAGTCCTGGCTACTACTGTGGCACTCAATAAAAAACAAAAATTACCCACATTTGTGCACCAGTGTTTATCATGAACTGCTTATCATGAAACACTTTTAAGAGCACAATATGCATAGGCACTGCAATCGAATTGCTGCTGTAGACTTAAGTGAGAGCAAATCAAGTTTTTATACATCGACACTTATCGTTCGCTAACCTATCAAGCAGGCTCGGAAGCTGGCATCAGTGCCGCCTGCAGTGTCCGAAAGCACCTTGATGTGTGGTGGTGTGCTGTTGGTTCCCTCCTTTCACCGTTCTGTTCTTAGTTTTGCATTTGGCCCCTGTCCTTTTTTTGTTTTTTGCCCGCACCCTCCCCCTCCCCCCAGTGAATCCCACGTCCCCGTGTGCACCGTGTATGAGAACAGAAGAGCTCTGGACGCTGCAGAAACCCGGCTCTGATATGGCTGCGTTCACTCCTTCCACCTTGCACGTGCGCTGCTTTGTGACAGCACTACTGCGTTCCGTGCCTGAGAACATTTGCGTCTGTGATATGCGTGCTGGGTAGCTCCGTTTTGGACCTGTTGTGAGCCATCGTCGCAGGGAGAGGCCATGGCTGCTGTGTTGGTGCCTCGGAGCCGGCACTCGTTTTTGTTTCATTTTGTATTCTCAACTCTGGAGTTGTATGTTTGCCGAGAGTTCTCCGTAACAGGAGTACTGTTTGATTTCCATACTGACATGAACTACTGCTATAGTGAAACCACGGAACACTAAGTGAAGACATTTTCTTGAATTAGGTACTATGTTAGATACCCATCAGTATTTTTAATGCAGGCCTTTCAGACACACTACACGATTTTGACTTTCTGAAGCCATTAAAATATGTACACTAGATTGGCCTCTGGAAGTTTAGCTACAGAATATTAAGGATGTGCAAATATATTCTAATATTTAATATATAGAACGAAATAGCCACTATTTGTTCATACAAATGTTTTTCGGATATTTTACGAATAACTCAACTTAACTACGCCCAAATAAGTGCGATATTGGTACAAACGTGTGATGAATTTCATCTAATCGAGTGCCATATAAGCAAAAATGAAAGCTTGTGAAAGCCAACAGACTCAGGTCATTCAGCAAGCCCATTCTTTACTCGCTACGTGCAAAGATTACTCAAGCTCTCTTTGAAAGTGCTTTAAAGTAAAGAATCTGCTTATTGGTTCCAGATAGTCAATTTCTTCTGTTAGTGTAAAAATCACAAATACGAGAGTGTGAACATTTTTTGTATATTTCTGATAGAAACAGCTGTTCAATATTTAAAAAGTATTTGGTATTTAATTTGCTTCAGTTTGCTTTTGGCACTCGTTGCACATGCCAATAAAAAAGTGTCCTGCACATGCAGGTGGGATGCTTCATACACTTCGTAATAACCTTTGTTAAGAGGTGCCTTTTGTGAGGTAGGCATGCGTGTAATGATGTCAGCGTCTAGCACTAACTGAGGTTTTTCAAGCCCGTCTTTCATTCTTGATGCAGGAGAGAAGCATCGCCGCAGGTGACTGTATTTTGTTTGTTAGCCTGATAACTAAGTTTATTACATCACACGAGAGAATATCTTTCACACAAGTGGGAATAATGGAGTCGTGGCATCATTTTTAAGGCATCCAGCCTCTGTAAAATAAAATAAATCTTACAAGTGGCATGTTTGCATAAAAGTTTTGTAAATATTCTTTTTATTCTGGAAATGATTGACAGTATAGCAAAAGGGTTGCACATGTGTGATTCATGGAAATATGAGTATAACATGTATAGCACAACTGTGGCTACCATAGGGATCAGTAGCTCTAAAGATTTCTTCTGGGGAGAGGGGTTGGTTGATGCATAGTCCATGCATGTTCATGCATACATTTTTGTGTGTGTGTGTACACATGCCAAATAGAAAATTTTCATGGGGGGGGGGGGGGGGGGGGTTGAACTCCTCTATCTTGGCAACAGTGTAGGGCCTTCCTCACGTTTGACTAGCGGGGATGCGAAATCAGGCAATGCACTTCCAGAATGCAGCAGCTCATTTGAATTATGCAGCCTGATCGGACAAATCCTACTGTGGCATAATTCGTCATTGTTACTTTGAAAGATACTCACAAGCTGGGGTGCTCCCATTGTTCGAATTTCGTTTTCAATGCATTTGTGTAGAAGATGTAAAGCACATGCTTCGGCTGAATTGAAGGGCATTTTGTCCTCCAGATTGAACTCGTTTAAATAAGCGGTAGTGTTGTGGGAGAGGAAAATGGACTTTCAAAAAACACAAACTTTGCTCAAGAAAGGTGTGATGATTCAAACATGCAGTTCTGACTGCTGTTATAATAAACTATTTAATGTGAAAATAACATACGTCATATATTGGTTAGAAGCATATTCTAATTGTGTACTGATATCAGTAAGGAATATTTCGGAATTTGCTAATTTATTGTGCAGTTTATAAAATTCATGTTCGTATAGTTCTGATTGTACTCTCATTCAAGGAATACAGGGTTACAACATACACACAGCAGCACCTGTGTTGTTGGTGCCATCTTATGGCACAGCGCTAAACCTGACAAGGCAAGCAACCATTACTGCAGCCATAAACCACATTATACGTGGTAGATGCAGGTGTCAAGCATTAGCCGAAAGATGCTTGGTTAACTGATGCAGTATACAGAATTTTTGGGGTGTTGTTTATTTACCCTCTACAAAATTCCTCATGTCGCAGCAATGTCTCCGAGTCATTGTGGCTTGATAGAGTGTTGCACTATGTTGCTGTCAGCAACTGCTGCTGCTTTCCATGTCTACGGTGAACTGGTGTTCATCATATTTGTATGGATTAACTACAACTCGCCAATGTTAGACACCAGCCCAGTGCTTGTTGCATGTAGGGACGACATTGGATGTTCAGAGACTCTATATTAAAAGCATATTGCTCACTGTCGAGTACAACCTACAGATGACATTCCAACCGCATGGTACATCTTTACACTCAGTATTGAAGTAGTGCCATCCCAACAAAGCACAAACTCTTGTTTTTACTCTAATGCCTGTTGCATGTGTACAGAGAAGGCACAAACTCGGTGTGTTGATATTCATGCTTGGCGTATGCATGTGCTGTATGTTTTTCGCACCAGTTAGCTTACGCATGCCGTACCATTTGTTTTAGCACATCACCTGGATTTGTGTGAAAAAATTCGTTGTTTGAATTTTACACCAAAGATGTGTCTTGTGTTCATTCCCATGATTATTTTCTTCATCAAAAAATTTTGCAATAAACTGTCACCAAAAGCGTACTGTGGCAATTCTTTGTTTTCTAGCGAAAAATAATTACTGTCATGTTACTTTAAGCTTCCAAGCATTACCTTACAACATTATCCTGCACTTTGTAAATGTTTGTATACATGATTATGAAAGAAGAAAATGCCCTTTTGCATTCCCACATCAAATTTAACATCGAAGCACATAAAAATTTATATTTGAAGTGTCAATTCATTGGCCATAAGCTGTGAATTAATAACAAAGTAACATAATATGGCTGAATTTACAACTCCAGCTTACTACAAGAACAGATGATGTTTTAAACTGCATTTTAGCAGATTGTTTAGCATGTTGAACTGTACTTCTTTGCTCTTAGATATGCTAATGTGTGGAGTACTTATGAAGTTACAATTTTATGTAGACTGCCAACTAATACTAGATTCGGCAACTTTAAATGGATTTTAAGAGCTCTGCAAATGCTAGCAGGATGGCATTTGAACTTGTGGACTTTGCAGGACATCTTTGAAAAATTTGTAATCTATTTGGCTACTGAATAACCGTACTTCACTACAAATGATTCTTGTGGGAACCCACCAGATAAAAATTCCGAGGTTACGAGTTACTTGATGTCATGCTGAGGACCTATAGCAGCAAGTGACAAAAGAGAAATGACACATTTTGTCTGGATTGTTGAATGCTGGCAGATGCAGCTGAGCTTGAAAAGTAAAGCATTAAAGGCTACAAAAGATTGCTCAGAACAATGAGACGGGAAAATTTGCTGAGAGGTTTGGTTTCCTCAATACAGGAAAATAATAGTTGGATGTTCACGGAAAAGGCTCTTCGTTATCGAGGACTCACACATGCTGATAATACAAAAACTTTTCTCAAGTGGTCGGAAAATGCTGTCGATCGGTAATCGAGGCTTCTGAGAATACACAAGCCAAAATTATAGTGCAGCATGTGACCTGGAATTAACAATTCTCAAAGTCGGCTAGTAAGCGCTTGCTTTTCTTGACAGATGGTGCCATAAACCCAAACTATTGCGCAATAAACACAAAGTCCATAGCCATTGGCTGGTTTGAGCATCGTGAGCAGCATAGTTACCGCGGCTGCAGCGAGATGGCATGCCGTGCTCATGTGCTCACTTATGATCAGATTGGAAGTAAGCTGTGTGTTCTAAGAAAAAAGTGCTGAAGGTCATGGTTCGCGTGTGGCATAACTTCTTTCACCCCTGCCACCCCTCCTTGCTTAGCTTGCAGCACACTCATCGGGACGAAAGAAGAGAGAAAGCACTTGCAGCGTACAAAAAAATCCCTGTAATTTTGCTCCCACTTATCATATTTTGAAAAGTTTCACGAGAGTTGATTCGCGGGGAATAAGCTTTTCTATTGAAGCCATTCGATGATTGTTTGGAAAAGTGTTACAGGCCTCTTTAACTTAATATGTTCGGGTCGGGCCACTTTTTGAGTGAATGGGGACTGATTATTTGGATTCACGTAACGGTCGAGTAAGCAGCAGTGCAGGTTTGGTTGGTGCTACTCGTGAAGTCCACATATTCACATGCTCACAGATTTGTATTTGCTCCATACTTATTTTTAAGGGGAAGGGTGACTGTTGAGGAGTGGTTGAGGGTGTGAGTGGAAATGAGTTCAGGAATACACATTGGTGTTCACGTTAGCAAAATTCGGTAACAGTAAGTGTCTGTTAGTGTACGAATCTTGGTTGCTACTGGTAAGTACAAATGCGGGGGATCATGACTGAAAGTATGACTGTAAGTGGGTGTTAGTGAATAAAAGTGTGCGAGAGTAGGAACATAGTGCCACAGGGCGCAACTACATACAACACATAACTGTGGGTAATCACATGACGTATGAAAATACTGTTGTGTGACGATGAATATAAGTCTCTTATAAAACAGTTGCTTGCTGAAAAAAAGAAAAGGAAAGAACCATGTCTATTGTGCATGTCGTTTCCTATTTCACTGCATGCAATCTTCAGTAGCCACATTCGTGCCCAAGTTGTCTAACAACTGCATAGCACTTGACAGTAAATTTATAGCTTATTAAATACTGTACACTGCTTTTTTTCTTTAAACTACCATTGTATAACATTCTGAAGGAGGACTACTACATTGACAGGTAGCAGGTTTTAAAAAGTGACATAGGGAACTTGTCACTCGTAAAGAATGTGGGAAAATTTTTGAAGCCAAAGCGTGCATATTAATACCACATTAGGCCAGGCATCACAAGTACCAATATGTATTTACTACAGATATTTTGCGCTATATAACGAAAAGAACTGAACTATTTGTCCTATGCGGCTGTCCTTAGTTGATCTCATTGAAGGTCCTTTCTTGCGAAAAATAAGGCTTAGTGACAATGCTACAGAGCAGCGTGCAGAATTTGTCAATCGTGGTAATGGCACCTCATGATGTAGCTTTGAATTTGCATTAGTTTCCTCGTTAAAGATGACTCGTGTAATATTTTCCACAAGTAGCAGCAGCTTATATTCCCAAGCTGTTCTAGGTTTGAGATGTTTATGTTATCATTACTAGTCGGTATAATTAGAAGTAGGTTGAGCCTCATGTAGAGACATTGTGACATGTCTGCTTGTTATCATATAGTCTGGACATGATGACTTTATGTGTGTGCAGCCTTGCTAGCATTGTGCTTTTCAAAAGAAACAGCATTGAACTAATTCAATTATTTGTTATTGCCACTTTACAAGTTTTCACTGTCTTCATCGAGGGGTTGCATTATAATTTACTACACAGTTTACACTTGGTGTTTAGAGCAATTTGTAAGCTAAATATCACTATAATCAGTTTGAATTGAGCGTCCTAGTTTGACAAGCTAAGTTGGTAGTGTTTTTTGTGCATCAGCACAAGGGACTGTACACCTTCCAGGGACCACGAGTTTACTCCCAGAGCTTGCTGGTAAAACGGGGCCTAGCAGTACCTTGTCCTTACATCCTCAGTCTGCATTTGTATTCATCGGGCTGAATCCATTTTTCGTGTCTTTATAAATCTTCTCATTACTACTTCATTTAGAACCAACTCATGCACAAACTCAGATTGGAACATGGAAACTACTGTTTGTACCTTGTTCACGTTAACCTAAAATATGTGCTGAAAGTATCTGTGGTGTCATCATTGACCTCTATACTTCATTGGTTATATACAGAATTGATAAGTATATTGGAGCAAATGCTTACTGTACAAAGTTTCTAAGCACAAATGACCTTTCTTCTATATACATTGTAGTGATTAGCACATAGGAGATTCCCAGTTTTTAGTTTGCGTTCTTAAGGACTTCTTGCTATTTATTTATTTTTTTTTGATCGAATGCGACAGTGTATGGTCCATTTGGATTCGAGGAAGTGCTTAAGACTCCAAGTGCTCTCCCATACGAACAGCTTCACGAATTTCCTCTGTTGATACAGGTTGACAGAAACTGCACGTCTGCTGAAGAATGTCTTCATGAAGCCTGTCACCACAGCACACGTACCAATAGAAGTGGAGCTAAAACGTGTGTGTCCATTCCAAGCTTTTACTCATGCTTCCTTAGTGTATACCGTGCCTTTGTAACTTTACTCACACTATGTCTAGAGGAATATTAAAGAGAAACAGTAAGCTCGAGTCAAAATTTTTAAGGCAGACATCTTCAGTAACCAGGCGGAATCAGTTATAAATATTTTATAGAATGGCAAAGGCTTGACATGCCAAAAGAGATAAGACTGGCAATTCAAATTAACTTTTTTCCCACTAAATTGAGCCTTTCATTATTAAATTTAGCAGCCTGTTATTGTTATTTTGGCATTAATACTGGTGATTTTCATTCTTTTTTAATTGACAATAATTACGGTGTGCATCAAATATAATTAGGAACTCAATTTGAGATGTGTATGTTTTCTGAAAATACTCATAAGACTGCCCAGATTTAAGAATTTGCTGCAAAAACTGTAAAGTCGCACCAAACCGGTTAATACCGTAGTTTCATCAATTGAAAGATGGAAAAGTGTTGGCCTCGTGTTTTCTACTAATTGACTATGTATGCCTGCTGAACAATTACAAATTGACAACTTTAAAAGCCAACATCTTACTTTTTCTCTTTAGTGTTCCTCCATCACTCTTAGTAACTCTTCTTTGTGTGTGTATGTCTGTTACCTTGCTTTTTGATGCCTCTTTAGAGTCTCAGCTGTTTAAAAAATACTAATTCCTCTGCACTGTGCTTTTACTACTGCTTCATTATATAACACATTGCTGCTACTATCTCGGGACCCTGGGGGCCATGCATATAAATTATCATAAATTCAGGTGTACTTGCCAACACTGCAAAGAGACAAAACATTTATCTTTGCAGCTGTGATCTACAAATTTATGTCCTCGATTGCACACCGATAACCAAACCCAGCAAATGAAAAGAGGGAGAAGATTGGGGGAGTTAAAGATGGGGGGGTTCTCTCCACATAGTTCTTGTTCCAAGTTTTCACCTTATTTGAATGTTCTGATAAGCTGCGTTTCAGAAATGTTGTAGCATTGAAAAGAGGGTCTTTGTTTTATTGAGACATCACATTGAGTATGAGTGACTTAAAACAGGGCCACATGATTCCCAAACATGGTCCCACTGTTACCTAGGTTGATACAATTGTAATCGACACGCCCTTCTTGTTTGCATTGCTCATGCACTTTGACCATATTACTTCTTTGAAACCACACTCGCTGATAAAACATCATTTCACCCAAAACTTCGATTTCACGCATCATGGCAATTTTCACGTTCACACCTAAACCATAAAATGACCATGTTGTTGGGCTAGCTAGACAGACAAATTGGTGCGGCTCAAGAAATAATTCTTGCTGCACTATAATGCCCCCCAAAAAGAACACTTTGAAATATTCAGTCTTGTAGGGATAGAATCACACTTGTCTAGAGCAGCAGAGTATGTAGCTGGCGACACTGTTGTTGGCCGCAGCTTCTTCCCCATGTTAGCTGCAAGCTTGCTCTCATGGTTGGATTATAGCAAAAGGGCCTAGCATGCAGTATGACCATGTTTGGTATATTATAGCATCTGTCTTTGCATAATTCTGCAGGAAACTGCAGCTGCAGCAGCAGGTTGTGTGCTCTAGACAAGTGCAAATTCATCTGTACTGATCATTGTTGATGGGTTTCGGCATACAAATGGAAACTGGCATATAAAAAAAGACAATGGAAGCTTCATTGTGTGTCCTAGTAATAAAATATTGACATGTTAAGCAAATGAAGGTATTGAACTACTTCATTATTGTTTTAATTTATTTGTTATTCTTTAGCAGATTTTTAAAATCATGCAATCCCCATTCACCTTTAACTTTAACTTTCATTTCCATTTTTAAAGAGCCAGTAAACAGTCCCATACTTTTCTTTTTGTTACACCCCTCAAATAAGATCACCAATTCTTACAGTAGACTATGGCAATCATATTTTATGATCATTGCAGCACTGCATACCACGCAGGCCCTCTATTTCGTGAAAAAAAAAAATCCTGCGCTTCTTTTCTTCGACTGACCAATTCTTCTTGTACATGCAGCGACAAAGTCTTGCCGTCGGGCAACATTGCACACCCCTGAGCTTGTAGTTTGGCCGTTTGCCCTGTGAAATAGCGCCTCAGCCCTTCGGTTATGCAGTTTTGGCCTGCGCAGTCCGCATTTTCATTTCCATGTGCTGCTCTCTGCCGTTTTGTAGATATCGAGAATACCGGGAGAAGCAGTATTGCCAGATCAAAAGTCTTTGAGCGAAAGAGGCGTCTCGCTGCTTTACGGCTGGGGGAGGGTGCTCCTCGGATTGCGCTTTCTCCCCGCGCCACTGTTAAACATGCTCACGAGGGGCAAGCCCTGCTCGATTGTTGGCTGCACGCTGATGACTTATCGCTGATGTCATGTTATGTTGACGAAGTGTGCGCAGTCGCAACACAGGGCTACGCCTACCCCTCTCCGCTGAGAGAGAAAAAGGTGGAAAGGATGAGTGAGAAACCAATAAGAGCCGAAGCGGGTCCTTCTAAGCTCTGTAACTTTCTTTTTGCAGCACTGTTCGCAAAGTTGTTTCGACAGCTTGTTCACTTTGTACAAGTGCACAGTTGAGAGATGATTTAGACTCCAACCAAAAGTTTTGAAGAAACCCGATGTTTCGAAACCGACTTGGTTCCTTCCTCAGCCTCAGCACATACAGAGGACAGCCCATAACATCAGCCGCTCTCTCGGAACCCTTCCCCCAGTGTATACACATGGACTGCGCTCCACGGCAAAACGAGAATGAGAGAGAGGGGGGTCATTATCCACCTCGCGAGTGCTTTGAAGACGCCGCTGCTACGTAGCCTCCGCAGTCACTCCTGAGGAAGGAACCAAGTCGGTTTCGAAACGTCGGGTTTCTTAAAAACTTTTGGTTGGAGTCTAAATCATTTTCCAGTTTCAGTACCCAACCAGACAGACTTCTGTCGAATGCTTACATTCACGTGCACAGTTATTTTTCCATTAGAGACTCTGGACCACGAGCTTGTTTACTGGCTCTTGAAGAATGAAGACGAAAGTAGAGCAAAAGACGAAAATTTGTAATCATATTGGCTTGACGGGCACCACATTCACTCTGCGATCCAGGGCAGCTCAACGTTTGTTAAGGTTGAGTATAGCACGAGCACTGACCAATGAGGTCAACCACTAAGGTGAACATCATTCCCAGATGTCACTGTCTGAAATTCTTTTTACATTAGTGCATCTTTCTTATTTCACAATGCTTACACAATAGCACATCAAACACACACCACTTGTTTTTGTCACTTGCAGATGGCTACGCCTTCTCTCAAGAGGAACATGGAGTAGTGCCTCAGGTGACCTTGATTCTCTTTGACTTTGTTGCGATGAACTTTGTTTTTCTTTTTGGATCATGTACTGTGTACAGAGCACAACAGAACTGGATAAGAAAAAGGGTTACTAGTTTTGATACAAATAGGATAGGTGGCTCATGGAATTTAAAGTAGAGTACAAAACAAGCAGTGCATAACTTGTGTGTGTGTGCACATGTGTGTGTTTTATACAGTCATTGTTATGCTTTGTAACATATCATTGGCTCAGTGAAGCTGTTTCTCGCGACAGTTCTTGGCTTGCGGCACCCGCCAGAAGTCTTGTATTTATGGAAATAAGACTGTACTGTCATTATCTCTGCTTGTAAACACATCCTGAAGCAATGCACATGGCATTGTTGATAATGTTTTTGTAATAATGTTTTGCATCTTATATGGTCTTATTGTACACAGCATCAGAAGATTTAGTACTGTGTCACTGCATTGCAATAACTACGATGGCAGGTTGAACATTTCAAGACATATTGTATGAGCATATTGCAATCTTACCACATTACAAAGGGTTAGCATTTTAAATATGAGGAATGTGTGGTACAATTTTGACAAATATAAAAAATGTGAGTGCTTTAGTAGGAACACAGCACAATAGAAGACGGGGACAAAGAAGGACGGCACATGCACAGTACTGGCTTGTTAAACTTTATTCGTGGGACAGGAATGATGAATTATATACATACTGCCTCTGGCATGCACCAAATATTAAAAAAAATTTCAGAGTGACCTTAAAGTTGGAGAGTAACATGGCATCCGTGATGTAGGGGCATGTGGAGAGTGGTGGAGGGTCACTGTGCGGCCGCAAGCATCCAAAAACACACTAATAATGTCACAGTGAGGTTTACTATGAACAATTGAATTGTTCATAGTAAACCCAAATTTTTTGCTAAACACCTAAACAATGCAAGGAAGCAAGACCAAAGTTGGCCACAAGTTACCGTGCTACATGCAGAGCAACATGAATTTGCAGAAACCGCCTCCATAGCCTTCGCTACACTGTTAAGAGGCTTCACGGCACAACAAGCATTGCTGTGAAGCAGCACCATAGAAAAAATTACGCGTATTATTCGCACCCCCCACTTGGCTACTGAAATTTTCGGGTTTGTGGTGCGGGTTATACGCACAAAAGTATGGTAGTTCATACCTCCTGTGCTATAACTAAAGTGTTGCAAGTCAGTGCTGTGTGTTTGTCACCCTTCTTTTCCCCTATCTTCCATTGTGCGGTCTTCCTTCCAATGTTTTACCACACGCCCAAGCTTCTGCACTAAGCCAATACTCTCTTTCTCTAGTTTTATAAAGAGCCTTGTGGTAAGATAAGAATGCTTAGGAATGTCTCCTTTTCTTGTTGCCCAGGCTGATCTTATTCGTGTGTATGACTCCACCAAGACTAAGCCAAAAGGTGTCTGAATAAACGACACTCAAGCCGCGAGCACACATTCCACTCTCAGCAACCAAGAGCTTCGGAAGCGTCTGCAATGTCAGCTGCAAATGTGTATGTACATACCGAGTGTGACTGCTTCGAAGTCTTCCGTGTTTCTGTGCATGGATGCATTCATGCGACTTTACTCCTCGTGTTATAAATATGCTGTGCAAGAAAGCCGGCAAACAGGCTGTGCCACAATTCAGTGTAATCACATTTTCCAGCCAGTGAAGGCTCACCTGGTACAATGTCTGTCTCTTTGCATGTGAATTAAGTTTACTTATGCAAAGAGATAGTTTCTCATACGAGGCTGTACCATTTCTTTTTGCTTGCGTTTGTAAGCAAGTTAGACACAGGCCGGGCTACTATTTTGTGCAATATGACTAGTTGAATCTCACTCCTCCTTCTTGTATGTTTTGAGTATTACTCCAAAACAGAACTAAATCTTTCTTTTCTTGTTCAAACATATTTAAAAACCAAAGATAAACAATGTAGAATACACCACTTATTTACTTCTCAGGATTTTTTTTCCTTGTCTCAGTTCAAGTGTTGTCATGTACAGCTTCAAAGTTTTGTTATATATTACTTGCAGTACTATTTGCTTCCCTTGCCTTAGAACTTGAGTAACATTGTGTGCAAGTGCAGTTGCAAACACAGCTGTAAAGAATATACGTATGCCTGCTGTGAATGGCGATGTTACTAAATTAAAAACAGCGAGTACCGTATTTACTCGCATAATCCTCGCACTTTTTTTGCCGGAAAACCGATGAAAAGTTGGGGGGTGCGAGAATTACGCGGGGAAAACTTTCTACGAAAACGTACAGAGCGAAAAAGAAAACGAAGTGGCCACAAATCGGGATTCTCACACTAACAACTAACAGCAAGCTTTAAGAAGTACTAATTAAAACTTACCTCAACAATAAAAGCAGAGGTTCAACACAAGACAGGATTAAATTGAGGCACAAAGAGTGGAAGCAAATAGTCGAGAATTAGAATACCATACGCAAAGCTTGCGGACGTTGTGGGCGTAGCGGTAGCATTCGTCGCTCAACAGGAGCCCTCAAAAGGTAAGTGTGGGACGTCAGTATTGGGCTGATGGCTATTTAACAGAATTTTCCGCAGTTTCCTTCTTAAGAAATAAAGTTTACCATCAATCCCAAAGGCCTACCGGCGGCCCTGTTGCCGTTCTTTAGTCCATTTTCTATCACTTAGAACTTGAAAGCAGTCCATACAGCTTCAGTATCGCCTCATAACTTGACAAGGTTACCAATGCAACATACAAAACACGCCGCAACGTGCACTGGCCACTTCGGCTTCGCTTGAGTTGGACTGAATATCTGTGCAATAGTACGCTTGATGCTTAAGAGATGGCGCCAGATGACGTGCACTATCATCATCAGTGGCTGAAAAGAGCAGACGACATTATTGCAGCAGTTTTCGGAGGCGCGATAATTACTCGAGGAAAAAAAGAAATCGTATTTTTGTTGGGCGATGTGGGGGGTGCGAGAATAGTGCGAGTGCGAGGATTACGCGAGTAAATACGGTACTTGTTTCTTTTCTTGTTCAAACATATTTCGTAACCAAAGATGATCAATGTAGAATACACCACTTACTGTATTTACTTCTCAGGATTTTTTTTTTCTTGTCTCTGTTCAACTGTTGTCATGTACAGCTTCAAAGTTTTGTTATATAACTTGTCGTACTATGTGCTTCCCTTGCCTTAGAACTTGAGTAACCTTGTGTGCAAGTGCAGTTGCAAGCGCAGCTGTAAAGAATATTTGTATGCCTGCTGTGAATGGCAATGTTACTAAATTAAAAACAGCGAGTGCTTGTGAGATAGTTATGCAGACAAAAAGTTGACCAGCATTTTCTAAAAATTGCGCATTGAAAATCTTGCCCTAGAGGTGCCTTCTCATACCATTCTCCACGAGAAGGGCTATGCAAGTGCCGAACAGAATGGTAGGAGCACTGTAGGACATCAAACGTAGGCTTTCGTGCGGTGCTTTTCGTTGTTTGTGCTCAGCCCGCAGTCACGCTGCCGTTCCCATTCACGGATTGAAGCAACAAAGGCACTAAAGCAGAGTTTGTTATGAAAAGAGGTACAAGTTCAGGGCCGCTGTCAACACTATTGTCTGACTTTACTGCTTTTTTTTTTTTTTTTCAAAAACATCCCGAATGGTCTTCTTGCAGTGATTCTACTTCATGTAATGATTCATAACAACATGTAGCTCACTGTCCAAATCAAAAGACAGTGGTATTGGTAAGATATCTTTACCTTTCCGCTCAATAAGCTTATCATTGTGGCAATGTCATGTTGCCATAATACAGCATGTCGAGAAGAGCAGATCTTAACCTGAACGCCATCACTGTTGAAAAAGAGTTCCTGCGTTTTTTAAAGGTTGGTAATCCTAAGTAAAGAAAAATTGGCTTTTGGATATCACTACGGATCGAACCGGAAGTCTAGCGAAATAAGTGCTTTGTTACGCAAAGCCGCCATGCTAGTTGTGCCCAATAGATTATTATCAGGCAGTACATACAGCTTTAGCATCATGGTTTTGCTAACCTGTGTCACGACTAAGTTTCTTAATTTCAGGATTGCAAACAGTGGAGAAAATGCTTGCATCTTGCATTATAACATATAACACCGTGTGTAGTCAGCTCTATTTGTGTTTTCATTGAAACAGTAAAGTTGCAAATGTGACCTCTGTTGGTCACTGTTTTGCATTGCACACTTCTACTTACGGTACTCCAAAGATTTTCTTATTGAATTCAGTTACCTTTTGAGTAGATGGTTCGCGTGAGCATATTACAACATAACACGGCACTCTTCAGTGAAGGCAACTGTTGCGACAGTGTTTATTAACATGTCTTGCACCAAAAAGCTTAATTTGTTGAGGCTGTAGAACAACAGAGAGGAATGGCTGCACATTCCTGTACATCTGGTAACCGACTCATGTTGCACGGTTAAAAAAAATGAAAGTATACCTCATGGTTTTTCATTGCCGTCTTTCATGCCTGACCAGATAATGTTGCACTCTGAGATCTGAATTCTAGTCATGGACCGTCAGTTCATCATGTAATGTGCATGATTATTGGAATGTTGGAGCCAGCCAAATAGACTGCTGAAAAGCAGTTATACATTACACCAGATCGTTTCATTGCTTGGATGCTATGAATGTCAACTGCAACACTTTTCATTATGTAAACATGATGCAAGTCCATACTTAGGTGTGCATCTACTTGTGATCAGAGCTGAATATTATAGAATGGATATATCATCGCCCACTGCCACCATCTATTCATCAGTTGCCGAACATCGCGTAAACACCTGCACGGCATACTTTATGGTCACTGCTTCTAACCGATATGCTTTCTTTTATCTACTCAAGACTGTTTTCTTGAAACTAGGCAATGATGAAGACATGTCATACATAGTTGCCAACTAACATTTATAAAAGGAAGTAGTACTGCAAGACTTTTTTTTTTTCCTTTTTGGAGAGCTGAATCCTTTAGTTTTATTTTATGCGGGAATTTCATAATGACTTGTGGTGCCTAAACGTCAAGAAATGATTTTGTCACTAAATGAATGTGCAGATGCTAAAAATTGATTTTCCAATTTGTTCCTTAGGCCACTCAAGTTATAGCCTGTTCACACAAGTTTACTTTACAGCACACAAGCTTCAAGAACGTCATAATCACTCCTGTCTATTCATGGTCCTTCGGGCCAACTTAACAAGTGTATACCAGAACTCCCGTGTACTTGACGAAATGTCACTGTTGTCCTTAATTTTTAGCTTCTGGGGTGATCAGGAAACTATTGCACGGTTCAAAGAAGCTGCACATTTATGCTCAGCTTGTCCTGGCTTCTTACGAGAATTTGTGGCAATGGTACGTTTCGAACAGCATTGCACCACGTGTGACTGCAGAACAGCGATGTTCACAAGGATTAATTGTATCTGAGTGCCCTTGAACACAAAGAGCACATGCCATTTGCTGTTGAAGGTTTATATATAGTATTCTATTGTACAAGTGGCTCTCCACTGAGCTCCCCTCCCCTATCTCAGTACTGTGTGAATTCTCACAAGAAGGCATGTGATGGGCCAGGGATTAAAAGGATTTGCAATGTTCATGGCATATATGCTTGTATTTATTGATGTCAAAATGCATTAAAGTATGTTCCAAAGCAGGTATTTTGAGCTCCCTTGATTTTGTGTTCCAGCGAACCTTATGCTGTAGCTTTGTCTCAGGTATAGAGCCGTGCATCTGTGAACTGCATGTCACTTGTAGTTTAGTATCCTTCTCCAAACTCAAAGACCCTTCGCAAAACTTTTCATAGGTATGCACTTCCAATATATTTCATATGGATTCCATATAAGCTCATTTATACTGTGAATAATACAGAAATAAAATTGTACTATTATAAGAAAGATACAATGCAGTAGCCGTGACAACCACTTTGGTACATAGTACTTCACTTTATATTTATTAGACAGTGCAACCAAACCTCTACAACCTCTTCATTCTTCCCATTATCCCTTTTAGGGATAATGGGAAGAATGTCTCAACTTTTTCTTCATCAGTAAAAGCTTCCTGTGCCACTGTGCATCGCTGTCAATGCTATGCTTTTCTGCTGCCATATATCAGAAACATTGGAAAATCAATGCAAGATATTTCGTGCGTTTGTAATGCATGGTATCAGTCGTACGTTCAGTTTAATTTGTTTTCTTCTCTTAAATTTTCAAAAGAACGATGTTCCATTGTGTAAAAGATAGCTCAAGTTCTATATTTATGGTACCTTTCCTTTGTTGCATTTCAAGAGAAGTAATTCTAGCATGCAACCATAGATTTTTTTTAAGTTGGAGCAGTATATAGGCCATAAATAGTGTCACAGTGAACTTTAACTGAGAAATGAAGCATTTCCTAGCTAAGGCCTCCTATATAACAGGTGCTTTCATGGGCATTGTTGCATCACATAATAATATTTGTGGTTTTACGTCCCTAAACCACAATATGGTTATGAGAGATATCGTAGTGGAGAACCTTGGAAATTTGACCATCTGATGTTCTTACATGTGCTCTGACATTGCACAGTAAACAGGCCTTTACTATTTGCTTCCATCCAAGTGCGACTGCCGTGACCGGGGATTGAACCTGCGACCTTCGGGTCAGCAGCCAAGCACCATAATCACTGTTCCCCGTTCCCCCGAGGTGCACTTATTGCGCTACTGGACAAGATTCATGCTATAGACTGTTTGGAAGTGAAAGAAAACACAAATATACATCTAAGAAAAAAAATTTTCGCACCTGAATAGAGCTCATGGAATGTGATGCAGCAGTTGTAAATGCACTTAACGAATTCAATGCATTTCATGACACCACATTGACATGGCTTGTCTTGATTCATACCGCTTATTTCATATATGAATGGAAATTCAGGCATAACTGAGGCACTTGTCCTTGTCTACACAGATTGCAGAGACATAACAGAGCTGAAATGGTTGGTGTATGCAAAGAGGTCAGGCAGATCCACTGGGCGCATCAGCAACAGGCAAAGGTGAAGATTGTGTACCACATTTGAAAATAAGGCCCGCACATATTTTTCTGCATAGTTCTTTAAACGATTCGCTCTACTACTTACTTTGGGCCTTTCTGTGCGACAAATTTGGCAAACAGATTGCAGCTTATTGCCCTCAAGAGACAATGCGGCAGGCGTTGTCCCACTTCTTCAAATACGCACCCTAGAACACATATGTCCCACTTTTGCCTTGGAAACTAATGGTCATATTTCGGCGGAAATTGCTTCATACTATTTCTAAGCAAATTATTTAGATATTCCGCAGGACACATTCAATTTTGTGAAAAGTATTAATGAACTCGCATGGGATTAATCGCCTACATCTTGGGTTTTGAGATTTAGGTCTGATGGTTTTTAGGTTTAGGCCTCTACGCATGACAACGTAAATGAGCGCACAGGGGCAGGCAGCTGGCCCCCCTATTCACCTAAGAGGTAGGGC